GTCTCAAAACAAACATGCATCTAAAAAAGTCACAAAACAATAGTAGTTCAAAATGTACACGTGTCGGCGGTGGTATTTGAAATTGGCAGAGAGTATGTTTCAAATTCAAGTGTTAATGCCCAATATATTTTATTCACTAATTATTCAAATGTTGATATCAAATCTAGAAATGATAAAAATAAATGTTATAACTTGTTGGAAATACTCGCACTTCGTTCTTCGATGTGACGAAACTTTCACACCTGCACAGTGTCGAATGATTTTGATTGACAGGACAAGCACGTGGACTTCGTGTGAACTTGAAGCAGGAAAATAAAAACGAGTAATACTGTCAAACAGATGGATATGATTTGTTGATAAAAAAAAAGTTACTTTCACTGTCTAATATATTTAGAAAAAAATATCAGAGTTATTGTTTGATATAGGTGCAAACATTTAGTGAAGCCTGAAAGGAAAGGGGGGGGGGGGGGCTGAAACGGAATATCTCTCTCTCTCTCTCTCTCTCTCTCATTTGTCTGTTTGATAAAAAATTATAACAGCATATTACTTAAATATCAAGTTCTGAAAATTGAATTTATAACAAATAATATGAATATGTATCTTTGTATTATCTTGTCTGAGTATAATCACGGCCATCTACAGATACATGTAGAAATCTGCTCAATAAATCATCATGAAAAATAGAAATGACACATAATATATTATTGTATTAAACATTTAAAGTACGAGCGTATAAATGCAAAACGTCCACTGACCTTTGTAATTAATTTTTTTTATTACTTTACATGAAATCGCCTTGACACGGAGATACATGTACATATATGAATGGATGTTACAATCGCTTTAATTCATTCTATAAGTCAGAAGTTTTCTCTGATTTGTTATCAAATAAGAATAAACATTTTTATTTTCCAACTAAAAAAATTTCTTTTATACTTCAGCGTTCGGCAACAATTGCAATGTTTTAATGCGTTAAAAATCGTGTGATTAAAAACTTAATGTGCATGAATCGTCTTTCTTAGGACAATTTTGGAGAATTTATTTTATTTACTTATTTATTCATTCATTTATTGGTTTACTTATTTATTTTTTTTTTTTTTGGCACCTGACATTATAATACAATAAAATAGTTTCAATGCAAAGAAAAGATCAGAGGCATTCCGAATATATCGTTCATCTTGCGTTCACCGTTCGTTCACCGTTCACTTTGCGTTCGCGTTTGCGCTCCGTTCGCGTTCTGCGTTCGCTCACCGTTCACCGTTCACACATCGTTCACCAAGTTGCGTTCAGCGTTCACACATCGTTCACTCACCGTTCGCTCTGCGTTCGTTCAGCGTTCGTTCACCGTTCGTTCAGCGTTCGCTCACCGTTCAAGTGGGAAAGTAGAACGTTTCAGGGACTGTAGTCAATAAATTGGTATATCTATAGGGCCATTTTATGCATAAAGTGAACCTAGCTCTTTTTGAAGATGTAACATATTTTCAATGTTACCATCTAAGTCACACCCTAGGGCTTCAACCATGAATTCAGGGGCCATGAATTTCACAATTTTGGTAAAAGGTTGAGTACTACTCATTATTAACATGCCAACAGTTTGCAACCTAAATGTCAATGATTAAAGAAGATTTTAGAAGATATAATGCACTTTCAACATGTGACCAATTTATTCCACCCTGGTGCCTGATCCCTGTATCCAGGTGCCATAAATTTCACATATATAAGTAGAAGACTCATTGCATTTATAATCATGCTAATGGTTTGACTGTAGATGACCAGGAGACAAGAAAAAGATTTTTAAAGATTATAATAATTAAAATGGTTTTGCCTCATTCCTCAGTCCTCAAGGAGGCAGGTCATCTCAAAATGTAATGTGGTGCCAGTGAGTTATTTATTTTAACGAACTAAGCTACAAAAGTACAAGTACTTTGCATATGTAAAGTCCGTGAAAATTGCTTCCATTGTTTCTGGAACGAAAACTAGAACATAATTATACTTTTCCATGAAGTACACCTTGTTCATTTACAATTTTAACATGCACACATTATTTAAATTATTCAAAAATCTTGTATCATGATGACTAATTTCTACATAGCTGTCTTCAAAGAACAGAAAATTTTAATGAACATTTTCTGAAATTTCATTTACATAATTAGAGTAGCCACTGTTTACAAAAAAAATCTCATTAGAGTGACATAACTGTGACTGCTTAAGACATGAAATAATGCACTGTCATGCTTACAAAGCAAATCCCCCAAAATAGTCAATCCAAAATCTATGTTCTTGACTGAAATATTCCCTGTAAATACAAGTTCATTATGTCAAAGAATGCATTAATTAAACAAAAAACAATTATAGATGTGAAAACCCTTGGTAATAAAAAGGTCTAGAAAATGAATAGATCTATAAATTCCCCGTCTGTGACAGGTACAGAGAAAGAGCAGTGCTGGTAGTCACGTATGTCAGAGACAAGGAAAGGCCTCATAATGATTTGAACCGCAACAGGCAACAGGATGTAATTCCATCAATAACTGAACTTCTATCAGCTGTACTTTTTTAAGGACAAAAAAATGTTTTACTGAAATGAATTTCATCAAAATATTTCAACATATTTTAATAATTAACTTACAATTAATATAAATTAAACTCCTGAATTAAATATTTACTGTTAATTTAGCTTATATAAGGACATTTGCTACTATCAAAAAAGTTGTATTCTTGATTTGGTATATATTTTTGGAATTATTTTGGTTGTAAATTATCCAAATATGAAATTTCTAAAATATCAAGAATTTTTTTTATTTTCTAGGATTTTTCAAAATTCTCACTCTTTGCTGTTCCTCATAAAAATCTATACAATTTTTAATATCTTTATAGGTCATTATTGAAAAATCTTGAAACTTTAAATGTTATCTGGTAAAATTTATTCATTTTACTTATCTACACATAGATTTATTATGTATTTTCATGATTTTTGATAAATAATTTGTTTATAGCATGGCCTTAAGCAATAATTTACATCCCCCTCTTTTACCCACAACTACCATTCCCCTCTTAAAAACCGAAGACATTTTTCCCCTCAATTCCACTTGCTCATCAAAAGTTTTGAATTCAAAATGGAGATTATGTCTTGGATTTTTAATTTTTTTTTTTATTTCTGAAGTCTGCATGCAGTCATACCTGCTAGGTGTGAAAAAAAAACTTGTCCTGGACGAATGAAAATTGTTGAGTAGGATTTTTCTATAATAATTTAAAACAAGAGTCTAATGGGCCACATCATTCATCTGAGCACTTTGGCTAGAGGAAAGCAGAAATAAGTTCAATATTGAAAAAGGCGATGCTGTTCTTGAGAGGAAGATTTTAAAAGATTTTACTTATATATTCCTATGTTAAACTTTGACCGCCCATTGTGGCCCAAACCTACCCCAAGGGATCATGATTTGAACAAACTTTAATCAATATTATGTAATGAAGCTGTCAAATAAGTATAATTTTTCTGGCCCAGTTATTATCAAGAAGATTTTTAAAAGATGCCATTAAATTTTCACATAATTATCTCCCCTTGAAAGACATCTTCACAATGTCAACATTTTGTGATATCATTCTCTTCAAGAACCCTTGACAAAAGTCGCTATTTAAAAGTTGGACTTGTGGTTACATGAAGTTATGGTTAATTATAAACCAACCAATGAGAACATATCTTTCAAATGAGTTGTTTTCAAGTGGCTCAAAGCCATAGTACACCTTTTGTGATTGCATGGAGGAGGATCTTCCAAAAATTAATCTCCAATATTTTATTTGAGGTAACTAGTCACAAATCCTACAGTATTGGTACTTTCCATTTTAAAGACAAGTCATATTTGTTTACAAAACATACCCACAAATAGAGGCTGTTTTCTGATTGGTTCCAATTATAGACCGGGAAATGAATGAAATGGTAGCTTTCTAGTGAGTTTTAAAAAGCAACTTTTGTCAAGGGTTTGTATAGATCGAGGAACAACATCACAAAAGCTTGACATTGTGAAGATGCTTGATAGAGGGTGTCGCCCTTCATTTGAATGCATTTAAGTTCCCTTTACCCAAGAATGATTTGTGGCAAGTTTGGTTGAAATTAGACCAGAGGTTCTGGTGGAGAAGTTAAAAATGTGAAACTTTACAGACAACACACGACAGACACATGGACAGATACTCTTTGATCAGAAAAGCTCACTTGAGCCTTTGATTCAGGTGAGCTAATAACCTAAAAATTCATCATAACAAATCTTTTTGATCATGCATGTACTTCCATCCAAAAAATTCAATAAATGAAAGGAAAATTCTACACATCTTCTCAACACTTTTATCTTGCATCACAATTTATCTGCCATGTTGACATTCTAGACTCTCTGACTTGTTCTTAGTATTCATGAAGATAAGAATCATCTGATCCTCCATATATTCAACATTGACACATGCAACAAACTGTATTGTTAAACTACGTCCATGGGTCAAATATTGTCTTAATCATAGAAGTACTTTCTACATATAAATCTGCTCAAATGTCATTATTTTATCTGTATGCAGTATGTGTATTTAAAGAAAGCAAAGTTCACAAAAAATTGCTTGTGGAAAAACAACAAACAGCCAGCATCACCCAGAACAAAAGTGGGCAGAATAAAATATTTGCCATAAAGTGAAAACCAATGAGGGTCATTAATTATATTGCCTTCTCTTACACTTATCATATATATGTTAATATTCATCCTTAACAAATTGTAGATTTTCATATTTATTTATTATTATTTTTTTTTTACATGAAATTTTTCAGTTTAATACATACAAGAATAGACAGATAACTTGTTAATTACATTAGATGGCCATGTTTAAGGGAGATACAGACAATTAAACGCCATATGAAAACTTGTGATTCAGGTTTCCTTCATATCATGTAAATTAGGGAGAGTTAGCATTATTTTTTTTTTTGTCCTGAGTTATAGAAGTAGTGGAACTAAAGTTATACATACCCTTTTCAATGTACTGCTTCATTTGTAAATAGTTCAAAATCAGCTCAAGCAAAGAATTCTTGTCAATTTTTTGTAAAGTTGATTTTTCAAAGGGAAGTAAGTCTATCAGATTAGCCATTTCCTCTGCTTCTTTGTCTCGCCTGCCCTGAGCAGCAATCCTTGATTTCTCAGCTCTACAAAAAAAAAGGTTATAAATCTATTACATGCTTTCCATCATCAACATTTTAATTAATTCTATTATAATACTACTATTTTGAACTTTCTTTACAAAATATTTTAATATATTATTAAAATAATAAATGCAAAATATCATAGTAATAAATACATAGTATGAGCGATCAATTATTCTTTAAATATCTATAAAAGAAATGATAATTTTATGCATGTAACAAGAAACATAGCTCTATGCATAATCTTATTTTATTTCACCATATATTTGTTCATTGCATATCTAGTCTATATTGTAGATGCAATCTGTACTTACCTATACATGTGCTATCATATATATATATATATATATATATAAATATTAGTTACTGTTTTGATTCATTTTACTGTCACGTTATTATCAGTAATCAATGCTCTGTTGTTTATAAGTCTATACACACCTCGTCAATTTTCTTCCTTTTACTCTAACATCCTGCTTTCCTAATTGCTCCACATTCTCAATTAACTGATTGTTGTCTTGTACAGACAACATCTTTATTCTGAATGATAAATATATATAAAATATTAAGAATTAATCAAAAAACATATCTCAATAGAATCTAAAGGTACAATCATAAGTTTGGGATGGATTTTGTCCCTACATATTCAATTCTCATTGTTTGTTTGCTTTTATTTCATTCATGAAGGCAATAACCAATGATATTTTGTTATCAGAATCATCTTCTTATAAGTAGCAATTATAAACACCTCTAAACAAGAAACAAGCCAAAGCAATCAAATCTTCTAAAAATCACAAAAAATTGGTGTAAATAAAGTTTGATACTTGCAGTTTATCAATGACTGTATTACTTTTAAAATTTTATTGATGTTAATATGCCTTATATTGCATGTATTGTATTTCTTGCTTTGTATCTTTATGTATAAACTCAGAATGCTCTGCATGTTCTTACAAGTACTAAATAAGACAAGATCATATATTATGCATTATGGTATCAATCACTTTTGAAAGTACTTGAAAGATACCATCAGGAAACTGTATAAACATTTTTCAAACGACCAAGTATGCCATGGCAAGGCTAACTCAATCTGCCATGGACTTATATGTCCATGTGATTTATTTCAACCATGCAGTTTGAACATCAAGAATATAAAGAAATTAATAATGATAATAATGATTTTTTGATCATGGCTCTCACACTTCTTTTTGGTACAGGGACAGGGGTTGTTACAACTGGGTGATTTGGGATACTTTAGAAAAATGAACTTAAAAAAAAGAAGAATACTATAGATCTAACTAAAACATATTTATGATATACACTCAAAAGTTTAAATCAGATTCTTCAAAGACATGGTATTAAAAAAAGTGGACAAATCAGTATCAATAATAGAATATCTTCATCAAAGAAAATGCTATATTTACCTTCTAAATTTCATGTTCAAAACCTGTTGCAATCTTATAATTTATAAAACTTATTCACAACTACATGAGGCAGTGATTATGCTTATTTTTACCGAAGAACCCACGAACAATGATCAGCAAAGAATAATAATTACCCATAAAAAGGGGGAAACTGTCCTGCATGAGTGAACACCAATTAAGAAGGTAGTTTCTTCGCCAGCTCAGGTGTATTTGGATTACGTAATGATATTATTGCAGCATAAATAATGTCAACAGCGTTTAAAATACAATTTACATCGCGAATCTATTCATATTTTACTGTTTTAAACTTAAATAGGTCATATTATGACCGACATCATTTCTAAAGCCTACCTGAAATATGACAGTACTAAACACCTTGAAATTTTACTCACTTTTTATATACAGACATTTTTATCCACTGATTACACCATTCAGCCAAGTTTCAGTCTCCAATTTTCTTGTACAAACATTCTTAACATATCAACTCGAAACAAAATTATCAAAATATTTTGATAAACTTTTCCAGTCCTCCATTGCTAACATCACAATGACGGCGATTATCCCAAAATCTTTAGTCATGAAAACGTTTGTTTTCGGTGCACTTGTACGCGGACAGGTGCATTTGGTGATTCAGTGAAACTTTTAATTTGAGGCATTGCCATAATCTTTAGTGTCCAAGCTTCTCCATTCGTTGTCAATAAATGAAGGAAGAAATCATGGGGAAAAGGCAAAGATTGAAGGGGGGAGGGGTCGGTAAAGATCACAATGTCTTCTACAGTTGACCAAAAAAAAGGGGGGGGATAAAATGCGCACACATGATATATATTATATACAACCGTTTTTATTTAATATATACGAACCAGAGGAGATCGGAGATATATTTAGGTAGCCCTACCCTTCCCCAAATTTAGTGGCACGAGACCCTTCTATTGTAAATAATCACAGATAAAAATGCATATGTAGTCAGTGAACAATCCAAAAACATTGAAAAAAAAGGCGCTGATCCACGAAATTTTTCCAAGGGGGGGGGGGGGGGTAACCCAGTCAAAAAATTTCCAACTCAGAATTTCTCGACAAGAATAAAAACTCCTTTCCCAAACGTATCAAATCCAGAAAATATCCTGACAAGCAAAACAAAACAAAACAAAACACACACACACACGCACACACACACAAACATACACACACGTACTAAAAAAAAATAAAAACAAAACGTTAACTCCATTCTCAAACGTGAAAAAATATTCGTGGTGATGGTGGTAGTGGGGGGGGGGGGGGCTTCCACGTGTTTTCTAGAGGGTATGTCCAAAGTCATTTTTATTTGGTTGAGAATATACGTTTAATAACTGCAAACTCCAGGGGGGGGGGGGTTCCACCCCGACCCCCCTTAGATCCCGCGCATGAAGAGCTCCTCCCCTTCGGAAACACCTTTTTAAAAAAGGGGGGGGGGTCCATTTATCATATTTGGGCTGGACTCGTAGATCCATTGTGTCATCATAAATCAAATTTTCTACCACCTTTCACCAAAACTTCATATTGAAAAAAAGCTATTTTGATGCCCTCATTGCATTACTTTGTTATATATTTCACTCAAATATAATCCCGATCATATACCTAATATTAGATAGATAGATATTTATTTGGTACACTATGTATATTATTCATTCATTCATCAGCTGTTCATATTCATTTAAACCATATCTGACCATATCACTTATCGAAATTGGTATACATTGGTATACATTCATATTCATTTTATCAGCTCAGTACATTTTTCATTGGAAGACTTCTAATCTTGATAGTCTCGAAATATTTTATTCATTTACTTAAAAACATTCTGATTGTATACATACGAGTAAGTACTCTGAAGTTGCTATTAAAAAGATGCTTGAATTTCTGATTGACAATATCTATGTGGTTTTTGGAGACCAGATCTTCCAACAATCTGTTGGAATTCCCATGGGTACCAATTGTGCCCCGTTGTTAGCATACCTATTTCTTTTTTTCCATGAAGCAGAATTTATTCCAAATCTTGTACATGAGAAAAAGAAATCTCTTGCTGTGGCCTGCAACTCGACATTTAGATATAGCGACTACGTATTATCAATAGTTATTTCCATTCATATGTCGACACGATATATCCCAGTGAACTTGAAATAAAAGATACCACAGAGTCTGACACATCTGTTTTATATTTGGATATTTTACTAGAAAAGGACGTTAATCATGGCCGTAGGAGCCGAGGGGGGGGGGGACGGGGGGCCGTACCCCTCAATAAATTTGCCGATATATAGATTACTATAGAAAACATAGCTACTCTATGCTTGTGCCCCCTCAATAATTTTTTTTGCTTGTCAAGGAATTTTCGGTAGTTGCTAGTGCCCCCCAACTGAATCACTGAAATATATGGGTTTGCCCCCCCCCCCAACTAAAATTGCTTCCTACGGGCTTGTTAATGGTAATCTTACAACAAAGCTTTATGATAAACGTGACGATTTTAATCGTCAACTTGAAGTCTTCCCTTACTTATGCAGCAATATATACCCTTATCACCTGCATATGGGGTGTATATCTCTCATTTGATTCGATACGCAAGAGCATGCTCTACGTATGAACAATTTCTAAAACGATGTAAGTTATTGACAAACAAGTTGATGAAACAAGAATATCAACAGTCTTGTTTAAAGTCATATTATTTCGTAAGTTCTATGGTCGATACAATGACCTTGTCAGCAAATAAACCTATCATTGAGTCATATGCTGACTGACGTTTTTCATACTAATTGTTAGACCATTATTTACACACTGAATTGTTGACGGATTTTTTCCGTTATTTACTGATCATATCAAGGAGCACACAGCGGGTGTGACCGGTCGGCAGGGGATGCTCACTCCTTCGTGGTACCTGATCCCACCTCTGATGTCTTTGGAGGTCCGTTTTTGCTCCGTTTGATTGATGAACGAGTTATTCAGGTTTTGTTGAAATCCCATTTTATGTACGAGTTACTTAAAAGAAAAAAAAATGGCTGCGCCGGTGACTGATTCTGTTCGTGAAAAGGCTTTGGCAGACTACAGAAAAAAGCTCCTGGAGCACAAAGAATTAGAGGCAAGACTCAAAGAAAGTACGCAGTATTTTTATTTATTTTATATCCAATGTAAACAATATCGTTGTAATATGACAAGATTCCCATTTTCAAATTGTGCTTTGTCATACTCTATAGCAGGGACCTATATACTACTTAGTATATAGGTATATAGGTCTCTGTCAATAGTGAGGTAGAGTAATCTAATTGTGTCTCGGGACAATCCCTCACCACAATTAGAATACGTCTTATATAGTTGCAATTTAGGAAAACGGAGCGGATCTGCTCCGAAACGATTTTGAAGATTACAAAAGGAGTTGCACTGAAAATAATCACTAAATCAAAACAAACCATATGCCTTTCACCATCTTTGCTAATCTCAGCGAGATTCGTAGAGACTAAACATTTTGGTCTGGTGTTTCTACAAATCTCAGACTAGTGTCACATAATCTCATTCAGGAAATCGTGCCCAGGCTTCAACCACTTGTTTCGATTAATACGGGCTGAAATGAATTAGCTGTCTGCTTCAACTTTTTTGCGTTGGACATCCTTTTAATTCCCTATCACCATAAAACTTTCTTTTCTTACCTCTGAAAGGTTTAAATCCAACAAAATATAAAGTCATTGATTTTTCATAGCAGTGTGCTATTCATTTAAACTTCCGATGCTGAAGAGTTCCAGCAATAGTCTGCTTCAAATACTTCATTCTACTACTATTTCCTATAGAAATGAACCATAGTATGAAGTATTTGAAGCAGGCTGTTGCTGGAACTCTTCAGCATTGGAGGTTTAAACGAATAGCACATTGCTATGAAAAATCAACAATTTTGTATTTTGTTGAATTTAAACCAAGTTTTTTTTTCTGTTCAGCTAGTCCAACAGGCTATCGTTACATTTAAATTAGCTAGCCCAAGTCTTAAAATGACTAGCCCTGGGCATTGGGCTACCGTAGATTTCAACCACTGATTAAAGGGGCAATAACTTTTAAAGGGGTTAAGATTAGGGGACAAGAATGAAGTTTTAAGAGTACATATTAAAGATGCAAAGATATATAGTATATGTTGAAAGACAAAAGAGCTATAGAAAGAGCTAAATTTCTTAGACTTTGAATGACCTTGACACAAACTTCAAGTTCAGAGGTCGAAGAATGTAATGCAGTTGGTCCCATCACTCCCACGTCTTTACGACTTATCGTTTTGAAAAAATTTTATTATTGGTAAACATCAAAAACTTTCAGGGGCAATAACTCATTAAAAGGGTCCACAAATACTTTCACAATGAATAGATTGAAAAGAGTACTCAGATTGATGAAGGTCTTTCAAGAAAATCTTTCAAGAACAGCAAAGCCCTGATTAGTTATATTTATATGGAAGCATCCTTAGATAGTGTTGATTCAATTTTTAATCATGATCCCTGGGGTACATTGGGGCCACAATTGGCAAACTAAGTCTTACATTAGAAGATATAGAAAATATTTTTAAAAATCTTCTTCCAAAGAACAGCAAATCCATGATTAGTCATATCAATTCGGAAGCATCCTCAAGTAGTGTAGATACCCCCCCCCCCCCCAGTCCCCCAGTATCTACACTAATACTTAATGGGGGGGGGAGGGGGTAGCAATAACTTATATATTTGATCTTTTCAATACTGAATCAATTTCTGCTTTTTCCTGGCCAATGTGCCTAGGTGAGCAATGTAGCCCATGGGCCTCTTATTATTGTTCATTAATACATGTATGCCAAAAATACATATAATAGAAATAAAGGAATCTGGGGTTCAGCATTTTACAATGGAATATATAGGAAATATCTTTAAAAATCTTCTTCTCAAGAACAGCAAAGCCATTGTTAGTCATATTAATACTAAAGCATTCTTAGGCAGTGTAGATTGAAGTTTGTTGAAATCATGACCCCCAGGGGTAGGATGGGGTCACAACATGGATCAAAGTTGTACATGGATGTCTGATTAGCTTGTTATTATCTTTAATTAGTACTTCTCATTGTTATATATTTTATGGAAGAAATTATATGGATAAGATTAAAATATTCAATTTTGATTTTCTTTCAAGTGAGAGAAAATGCCAAAGAGTTAAACAAACAATATGACAAGTCTGAGAATGATCTGAAGGCACTGCAGAGTGTAGGTCAGATAGTTGGTGAGGTGTTGAAGCAATTAACAGAGGAAAAGTTCATTGTAAAAGCAACAAATGGGCCAAGATACGTGGTGGGCTGTAGGAGGCAGTTGGACAAAAGTAAGCTGAAGCCAGGGACTCGAGTGGCACTGGATATGACTACATTGACAGTAATGCGATACTTACCACGGGAGGTGGATCCATTGGTTTACAATATGTCTGTGGAGGATCCAGGAAGTGTTAGTTATAATCAGATTGGTGGACTTGGGGAACAGATCAGAGAACTGAGAGAGGTAGAGACAAATATGAAATTGAAAAAAGATCTTTGATTTCATATATTTTAGCTCTTACATACTTTTGTTGCTAGTTTGAATCGGAGTTGAAATTTAGACATTTGTACTTTCTAATAATAGTGAGTAAATTTTACAGATAGAAGATGAAGAAAGATAAATTTTGCTTAGTTGGAAAATTAAATCAGGTGGACAACAAATGTTTTTCATAAGTAAATAAAATAGATCAACAGCACCATTTTCCATTATCAAAAACAAAACCAAAACATTGATCATTTTTATATATTTTGTAACCAATTCTCCCCCTTTCCAATGCAAATTTACCAGTACTAGTAATGCTGATACCAGGGATGGGGTCAATTACTTTAAAAAGTAATTAATTAAATTACAATTACTTTGACTTTTTCTTCAATTAAATTACAATTAAATTACAGGCTTTCTAAGACATGTAATTAATTAAATTACAATTACTTTGCAAAAGTAATTAATTAAATTACAAATTACATTTTTAATTTTTTTGAATTTTTTTATAATTCCTGTCAATGAATATACAGAACATCATTTATTTGTATATAAGCTCAGCCTCTGCACAAACAGTACAAGAAATAATACACTATAGGCATTGTGTATCATTCTGGTTAAATTTATAACATTTATTTACAAAATAATTAGAATCTCTTAAAGAACTATCCGAGATCAGTTTGATGCAGTTTCCACCAAACAAAACCTACATGTACACAAATTGCATGGCTTATGATATTTGATTAAAAGTGAGTGAAATGAGTCGCTGGACTGTAACCCCTCAAATTAAATATTTCCTTTGAAGGTAACCTGAACATCCTAAATTGCTATTTATTTTTAAACAATTTTACTTCATAAATCAGAATTGTACAGATAGAAAATTCATTCATAAAAATCTGTTTAGATGTTAAAATAATTATCAAATTGAAAGTTTTTCTTTTCTAAAGCTAGCGGAGCATTTTAAATTGAAATAATTATCTCCATTGGCTTTGTCTTCTAAATCATGGAATGAATATCTCTTTAGAGGAGCTGATTTGTTTTGATTGCAATTTAAAGCTGTGATCTGGAGGGCAATTATCTCTTCCCAACAAGAGAGAACTTAATTAATGACACACACCTTCTTTTTCTTTATTATTGACCAAACAACAAAGATTGAAATATAATAAATGTGTGTTTCATAGCTGAATAGACCAAAGAAGGGTGGTTCAAAATTCATATTTATAAACATAGATCAAAAAATTCAAAATTTACATAATGATTAGAAAAAAACTAGTTTATTATTATCAAGCCAATCATTTAATTATTTTTTTGTAAGCATTAACCTAAGATTTTGTATAATTGAAGGATTGAGGATATGTTTAACAATAAAATAAAAACCAGTAAAATGGGGAGGTAGTGGTGACAATATATCATGAATATATCATGAATGTGTATTATATAAAGTAATTGAATGTAATTGAAAAAGTAATTGAAATTACATGGTATTTTTTCAGTGTAATTAATTAAATTACAATTACAAGTAATTGAAAAAATGTTCAATTACAAATTACTTCCAATTACTTCAAAAAATGTAATTAATTACAGTCAATTACAATTACTTTTTTCAAATACCCCATCCCTGGCTGATACCAACCTCAGCCATTCCTCTTTAGATGTTGGACATCTTGGGTGTGATGTATAGAGAAAAGGGAACGAGATCAGGAATACAATCGTACTTGCTGATCATGATGTCAATGAATTTGTGGAATACAGCCCTTTTCATAAACGCAAGAAAAAATAAATTCATTTTCAAAAATTAAAAGTTGTATATAAAAGTATAATATCCTTTTATTCTAGGTAATAGAACTTCCATTGATGAATCCTGAGTTATTTCAAAGGGTAGGAATAACACCTCCCAAAGGCTGTCTACTGTATGGACCACCAGGAACTGGAAAAACTCTGTTAGCTAGAGCTGTAGCTAGTCAGCTGGATGCCAACTTCCTAAAGGTTAATGATTATGTATCAAATGACTTTTTTAAGATCTAGTACAGGGAGCATAAATAATTTTTTTGTTTTGCTAAACTACTGATATATATAGGCACATACACACTTAACAATAATTTCATCCATGTGAAAAGTACTTTCACTTTGATCAATGTCCTTTTTCATTAAAATGGTTTGCTTATAATTTATAGAAGTTTCCAAGAATTTGTTTGGTAATTCCAATCTATGGATGCAACACATTGTTTTTATTTGTTTAAATTTAAAAAATCCCATTAAATAATGTGTTTTAAAAAATTAAATTGTAGGTTGTATCAAGTGCAATTGTAGACAAATATATTGGAGAGAGTGCCAGACTAATTCGAGAAATGTTTGCATTTGCCAGAGATCATGAACCATGTATCATATTTATGGATGAGATCGATGCTATAGGTTTGTATTAATCAACAGTGACTTGCAAAACTTTAATTTGGTAAGAAATGGAAAACTTTGATACTCTTTTGAATTTCTAAATCCAGAAGTCCACTAGGCACATCACTACCTAACTCTCATAGCATTAATGACTTTCAAATCTTTCTTACTAGTTATTCTTCTGAGAAGAATTCACAAATTTTGAAGACTTTGCCCAAAAAGATACAAACTATGACCATAACTTCTTTTCCAAACTTAAGTCTCGAAGAGCTTATTTACAATATCATCACTAACTCATTATAGGTGGAAGACGATTTTCAGAGGGAACATCAGCTGATAGAGAAATTCAAAGAACTTTGATGGAGGTAATATTCAGTGACATATTCTATGATTGACATTTTGTTCTATTATAAAGTGGGAAATTTTTGGTTTGGTTGGTTTGGTTTGAACATATTTTATAGTAATTTATAACTTCAAAGGGATCTTTACATTTCTCATTTAAAATGTCGATTGTCTTTGCTGCTTCACATAGTTCAAGTAATTTGGATGCTTTCAGTTGCTGAACCAGATGGATGGTTTTGATGCTTTAGGCCAGGTAAAAATGATTATGGCCACAAACAGACCTGATACATTAGATCCAGCTTTACTCAGACCAGGAAGGCTTGACAGAAAAATAGGTAAAAGTCTTATCATGAAATTGCCTCTGGGATATTTTACTTTGGAATATCCTGTATCTGTTCAAAATAGGATCTGTTCTGACAACATGATGGACTGTTAGTTCAAACTAAGCCAAAGACGCAAATGGGTTACTGAGCAAGAGGAAATCCAGGTAATTTTAGACAGTAATTAGGTCAGCACTGTTAGGGAAGAATATAAATGAAAAACTGACTATCTAGGAACCTACTATCAAACTAATGTCAAAACTGCACACATTATCCTAGCTGCGTCGATGTTCTTTTTTTCATCTTGAAACTTGGTTTTAAATTATATTTATATTTAATTTAGTTACCTGTCTGAAATTACCTGCAAATCCCCTTTCTTGAAAAGTAATCAGCATCTCCAGGTGTATATGTCTATAATTTTTAATTGTTTATTCATTGAAAATTTCATTACAATGTCAAATTCAAGGAATACAGACGAGACTCTTTTATACAGTAACGAGACTCTTTTATACAGTAAAATTCTGCACCAGATTTTCACTGTACTCAGGAAGAGCAGTCATGAATTTATAACGATGCATGTTACTGACAATCACAAAGTGATATTCTTTAATAAAAGTGTTTTAATAAATCAGTGGTGCAAAAACTTACAAGACTTGCAGGCGAAAACGTAATCAACTTAACTAGCAAATTCCAATCCAGATCAAGAATAAACAATTTTGTTTGCCTACTATACAACTTTAGAAATTAGACTACAAAAATTGTTTTATTTTATATCGTTATGATAAAACATTTCACCACCTCTAATGAGTTCAACATGGTGAAATAAGGACTCTTGACCTGGCCCACTTATTGACCTGACTTGACCTTGTCTGCCTAGCAGTCTCAAGTCAGTTCACCTTGTGGACCAGGCCCCAAGACCATAAACTGAGAATAGACTGAAGTCAAAATTTTGATTTTTAATATCTTGAGTTTTATTTAATGTATTTGCTTAAAAATTTGCAATTTTATATAACATTTAAATTCAAATATATGATAAAAATTTTGTTTCATTATCAAAATTATTTCAAATGTTATATTGGTTTGAAATTTTGTCTTAAGTCTGTTTTCAGTTTATGGTCTTGGGGCCAGGCCCCGGGATCATGAAACATCTTGGGCTTAAGTCAAAATTTTAATGTTGTTCTAAAATGTTAAAGAAGTCGAGCAGACCAAAATTAAAATATTTTTTCAATTTTGCTTTGCAAAAGTGTTGTTATCTGCTAATTTTGAGATTAAGTCGACAATTATGAAGCATTTTACAGGAGAATGAAAATTTGACTTAAGTCTAAGTTTGTTTCATGATCCTGGGGCCAGGTCTCAGGTCCTTATTTCACCATGTTGACCTCATAAGGGGTAATTAATTGTATAATGTTGATCAAGTTCAAAAGTCAAAGTTAAAACAAACATCAGTATAAAAACCTTGCTCAGAACATAACTCGTTTTGTAGAGTTTTCTCTTTCCTTGTCCAGTCTGGTTCATAGTGCCCTTGAGTAAAGGGAGTATTAAAGTGATAAGGTCTTAGGTGAAGGTCAAAGGAGACATTGTAAAGTCCTTTTCTGGAATATGTAAATGATTTCTGTCCTTTGGAGAAGCTTGGCATTCAACTTCACCCACAGAACATCAGGCGTCAAGGATGTGCAGTGTTGAACCAAGTCAAATCTTTTAAAAACTTTATGGAGAGATCATTATTTTATATCATTATTCAGGAAGCATTAATTCAATACTTTTCAAGTAACAGCAGGATCACTAGGTCAAATAAAGATGCAAGTATATGTTTTTCCATCTAATGTAGAAGAAGTAAGGCCCAGGGGTTAGGTGACCATAATTTGATTTTTAGTTTTACGGATTATTTTCAAGAAAGATCAAGTCGGAGGATGAAAAAAAAAAAGAAAAGGACAAAATACACATTTATTATTTATTGATACATAACTTTGTGCATTTGATGAATTTGTTTGTAAGTGCAGTTTGGTTTTTGAAAACAATGAAACCAATCCAATGATGCTCACCTTCTTCCATCATTCTGCACATGTTTTTACATCCAGATTCAAAAGTCTGAATGATTTGCTATTATAAAACACAGGTTTGACACAAGCAGCTTGAAAAATTCTGGATTTTTTTTAATGCAAATTTTAAGAGTCAGCAGATCCGTAAAGCTAAAAACCAAATTATGGTCACCTTAACATGTGCATATAGAAGGGATATTTCAAAAGAATATGTTAGAACTTTATTATGCCCTGCCATGAATATGGCAGGGGCATTTAGTGTTGGTCATGTCCATCTTTTGTCCTTCTGTCTGTCCTTCAATCATACTTTGAATTTAGATCAGTTTCAAAGAAACTTTTCTCAATATTTTTATCAAACATCAAATGCTGATATATATTGGTGAGAGCTATTCAACTGCATCAACCTTTTTGACCTTGACCTTTCCTTTGATCTTAATTTGAATTTTCTTGGATTTGTGTTTTACTCACTTTTAAAAATGGTTCAAGATATTTTTATCAAACTCAGTATGCTGAAACATATTAGTAAGAGCTATTCAACTGCATCAATAATTTTTTACCTTGACCTCACTTTTCTTAAATTTGGGTTGAGCTCAGTTTCAGAGAGACAAATCAAGATATTTTTATTAACTTCATATGCTGATACACTTTGGTGATTGTTATTGAACAGCATAAAAAATTTTTGACTTTGACCTTCCCTTTGACCTTGACCTCACTTTTCTTAAATTTGCATTTTGTAAGTTTCAAAGAAACTATTCAAGATACATTTATCAAACTTCATATGGTGATACATATTGGTACGAACTATTCAGTGCATCAAATTTTTTATACCTTGACCTTTCTATTTTAAAATTTGTGTTAGTTCTATTTCAAAGAAATTATTCAAGATATTGTTATCTAAACATATAAAATGATACTGTGGTTAAAATTCAATTTCAAAGAAACTATTCAAGATGTTTTACTCAAATCTCATCCACTAATACAAATTAGTGAAAGAGCTATTCACCTGTGTCATAATTTTCTGACCTTAACCTTTTCATGTTGCATTACTAATGAACCCTGGGTGGGTCATTCATGTCCTGTGGAAATACTTTTAGTGTAATCTTGTTCAGGACTAACAGTAATATGCAGACATAGCAATGTAGGTATATATTTAATACTACATGTAGTATGACCCAAGGAGCTATGATATGGCCAAAATAAGGAGTTAAAGATTTACATCAGAATACATATATAGAAGAACTATGCACGCTAACTCTCGATTCCCGCCTACATTTTACACCCATTTAATTCAATACTACTGGCAATTTGGCTGTAAAATCTTTGTTGAATGCAAAGAATAGTTCAATGGTAATTGACTGATAATTTTAATACCAGTGTTAAATAGTTAATTACCCCTAATTCCAGCTCTTTAAATAAGGGGGGTAAACGATATTTTTCATTGAAATCGGGCTTTAAAGCATCACCACATTTAAAAATATTCTTGGATATGAATAAATGTCCCCCCCCCCCCCCCCCCCCCCCGGTGAAACACAAAAAGCTGTAATATGAAATTGTGAAATGACAGTACATATTACCTGTAAAAAGGATTTTTTGTTTCATGGGGGAGGGGGGGGGGGGAGATGTTTTAAAAATATTTTCCGTTGATTTCTATCTTGAAAAACACAAGTTTTACCAAAATTGTAGAGTTATCTCTTTGTTTACCCAAAGAAGTAATGTTTTATGAAAATTCATATAAATATCTACATGTATATAGATATGAAAAATCATTCAAATGTGTTAACTTTTGAAAATTGACTTGGAGGTAGGTGGGAGAACAATACTATTGTTTGCAGTTCTTACTTGATATTATAAAGATGGAATTACAGTCATAATGTACATGTATCAATGATTTAATGCAGATTTTTATTGTGCCTTTAGTAGAGTCCATTATATTTTTTTTAGCAGTTAAACTATAATTCTATTTCTTTCCAATAGAAATCTCCTTACCTAATGAACAGTCAAGACTGGAAATATTGAAAATTCATGCTCAACCTATAGCAAAGCATGGAGAAATAGGTAAGATTATTACTATTCAAGTACCTGTTAAGAATTAGAGACCCAGAAGGAACATTTTAATTAGATTATAGTTTGCATTAAGAAAACCTGATATTGTAAAAATTTATAATGCTTTATATTTAGATTGGGAAGCAGTTGTAAAGCTGTCCGATGACTTTAACGGTGCAGATCTAAGGAATGTGTGTACAGAAGCAGGTGAGAAATAGTGTGTGCTGTAAAAGTCAGTTACAAACCCCCAACCCATCCAACGATTAAAGCATATGGACCAAAAATTAGAAATAAATTCTGTACTTTCCTTCAATTTTTTTTTTCTCAACATTTTGTTTCTTGATAATTTCAGGAATGTTTGCCATCAGAGCTGAGAGAGATTATGTAATAGAAGAGGATTTTATGAAAGCTGTTCGGAAAGTAGCTGACAATAAAAAACTGGAGACCAAACTAGATTATAAGCCAGTGTAAAAATGTGTGTAAACTGACAGATGTGCTTGGGCAACTTTTCAGGCCTATTTGTACAATGTACCCATATTTGTGATTCCTGCATTATAAAATAAAAATAATGAAATATTATGTGAGTTTTGATATTGAATGCCTGTTGACATCAAAGGGCTGCTTGGCAATTCAAATTATCACATACACAACTTGTGTGTAACAGGAAAGGAGAAAATGTGTGGCTGGATCGGGAATCGAACCCAGGACACCTGCATCACTTGTCAGGTGCTCTACCAACTGGGCTACCTGGCCACCAGCGATGGAACCCATCTGACTGCCACATGTGCAATGTTATTTCCATGTTATTAAAAAATAAGTATCTTGCTAATTATATCATTATTTAAGGAATGAATTTAATAGCTACCCAAGTTATACTGGTATAACCTGGATTGGAGCAGTTTACGCTTTATAAACCGCAAAGGGGAAAAAAGATATGTACATATCAACTGACAAGTTCAAGTAAAGGGCCATGCTCTCTATCAAGGGGAGATCATTAAGAAATGGTGAAAATCTTTTCCTCAAAAACCACAGGGTAGAAAAGACAACACTTAAATGAAAGCTTCCTTAGGCCCCCCCAAAAATTAATCTATAGTTTCCCAAGCACCGCTGCATCAGGTCAAACAGTGCCGCATAGATCTATTTTGACATACTGTAAAGTAAAATGACTTAATTTTCTGTTTTTCCAAGTTGAAAAAAAAATGAATTATTCCCCTTCTCATACATGATTTTTATCAGATACTCAATATATTGTTAAAATGGTTTTCTATGGATTAACTTTTATACACGTTTTGAATAACATTATTTAAAGTTGAGTTCATACATGTCTTATAATTAATGTAAGAGAACAAATAAGTAAGAATCAGTTGATATCATTCTTTTTTTGATGGACTAAGAAAAAAAAGAACACTTGCTTCAAAAAAAGAGAGAGAGAGAACCTGCCTGCCGCATTAAATTTTGAAATTTTTGGCCTGAGAAACTTGAGATCAATTTTTTTTGGCCCTAGTAAATGTTAATTTGTCTTTACCCCCACTTGATAACGTGTGGCCACAAAAAGGGATTGAAGTATTACATGAGAAAATATAGGAAACCATCTTTAAGGATACACCAAAGGTTTCCAAATGCCAGAATTTAATTTGCATGTTATTCTTTCATTATCAAAGATAACATAATAAAAGTATATATCATTTGAAAGCTTGTTAAATTTACTATTTACATGTAATTATCCTAATTTAAACTTTAATTAATAACTTATTAAAAAATTATTTAGATATTAATGTAAATTTTAGTGCATAAATATTTTATAAATCAACATTTTTGTATTTAACCCCTCAAAGTGGTCATTTTGCCTCAAGGTAGATTTAAGATTGAACTTCAAAACTGTATCTCAGATTTTTGATAAGTCTTCTAATTCAAAAGTTACAGCCATTTGCACTTCAATGTTACCAATTTATTAGCCTAATTTAACATTTCCCTCAGTAATTCCAAAACTAAGCTAGATATCAAAAATCTGAGATAGTTTTGTGAACACACATTTGAGAAGCAACCCATCCAATTTTCAGAGAAAATGGTCAATAAATAAGGGAGCTGAATCCTTTGAAATAATACTACACACTGTCTGATCTTACTTTGCAGTAGAGGGCAAAAACCCATTACACAACAAAATCTGCCAAAGCTAGAAATATATGACACCTTGGAGATTCAGCTTTGGATACCTGTCACTTAGCCATATTTCCTATGCATATTCACAAGAATGGGAGGTTCATTTCTGTATTTAGATGCTTTTAATTAAGTAAAATAGGTTCAATTCTGAATCAGAAGGATTTCCCGGCAATATGGCAAGAGCTAAGCTCCGCCTCCTATTTTATGGTCATCAGCTATCTGTTAGATCTCCTTCTCTAAATCTAGAGTCCCTGTAGTTTAATTACTGATAACCTCTGTGTGGCTAGTGAAGAATTCCCCAAGTGGTCACAGTGATTTATTGCGTCTTTCATGAGCAGGCAGTCGCAGATCAAATCAGAAGCTTCAATAACGGAACATTCACATGTGGTAGTGTTTATGTTTCATTATTGTTGAATAATTAAAAAACCATTTCATGATTACCAAGAATTTTAAATGCATTATAAAGCAGTGATTAACTTCTTTCTTAGCCAAAAATCTCAAAATTGTTGAAAATCTTGATAAAAAGCCTTTGGTGTATCCTTAAACATCTTCTCAAGAAAAACAGGGCAATGATAAGCAATGCTAAATTGCAATCATCCTCAGGTAGTGCAGATCAAAATTTAGGATGAGACCACAAAAGGAGATTAACTCTTAAAATCTGTTCAAGAACTGCAGGGCCAAAATGTAAATCATATTATTTATGCAAGCATCCCAGTTAGTGCAGATTTAAAAATGTTCAAACAATTGCCCTTGGGTTTAGGTTGAGCTACTATTCACTTGAAATATATGGAGGAAAAATCATTAAAGCCAATTTATTTTTATTTAATTCATGGCTTAAAGCTAGAAAGGGGCAGAATGGCTTGAAGCTACAAAGGGGTAGAATATGTATTCAAAATTTTACATGGGAATATATAGGATTTTTTTTAATTCGAGAAAGGCAAGGTGGTACACAATCATAATGATATGTAAACACTCCTATATCCTGTTAATTCAAGTTTGTTCAAATTATGTATACATGGGTTGGGGCAGGGCTAAAATCATAGATCAAATTTTACAAAATGCATAAATACAAGGGGAATACCTTCAAAAAAATCCTCTTCTCCAGAGCAAGTCATATTGATATTCAGAATCCCCATGTATTGTGGATTCAAGATTGCTTAAAGGGGAATTCACATTTTGAAGTTTATTTTCTTCAAAATTTACTGTAGAATTTCACGATTTACATGTGAGAGTGTTTCAGATCAATATATATTATTAAAACGTGTTTAGAAACTTCTTAGCATTGTGGGTTCACGGGCCTCCAATCTCAGACCTCAGAATGCTGGGCAATATAATTCTAATTGCTAATTTAGTTTCTTGTTTGTTCATTTGAACAACTTTTTAAACTGTACAAACTTTGATTAGCTGAATCCTTTTACAACAGATAATTCCAAATACAGTTGAACTTCAGTATCTCGAACACTGACATCTTGAATACCATGGATATGTCGAAGTGATTTAGAAGTCCCAATCCCTTATTCTTCAAGTATTTTCTCCCCCATATCTCGGATCCTCAGATATCTCAAAGTTTTTTCTTGGTCCCATTGAGTTTGAGATAATAAGGTTTAACTGTATATTGTGTCTCGAGAAAGTTTTGGAACTGAAAGAATAACAAGAGGCCTATGGGCCACATCGCTCAGATTTTAGCTAGGAAATGCAGAAATCAGTTTAGTATTGAAAAGTTTAAATATATGTGGTCCTAACCTATTAAGAAGGGGGGTGGGGGTGGCATGACTTGAACAAACTTAAATTTACCCTAAACTGGGGATGCTTCAATATTTCTTTGACTATTAATGGTTTTAGAAGATATTTAAAGATTATATTCTTAATGTTCCTATAAGTTTTATCTTGTAGTGCCCCCCCCCCCCCCCCCCCCCCCCCCCCCCGGTTATTGATTGATTTGAACAACCTTGAATCTACACTATTTTAGAATGCTTCTGTATTAATATGACTAATCATGGAGAAAAGGATTTTTAAAGATTTTTCCTATGTATTCCTATTTAAAACTTTGATCGTCCATTGTGGCCCCACCCTGCCCCTGGGCCGGGTCATGATTTTAACAAATTTAAATCTATACTATCTGAAAATGCTTCCCTACAAATATGACCAATTATAGCTTTGCTGTTCTTGAGAAGATTTTTAAAGATTTTTCTTATTTATTCCTATATGAAACTTATCATCCATTGTGGTTCCATCCTACCCCCTGGGGTCATGTTTTTAACAAACTTGAATCGACACTACCTGAGGATGCTTCCATATAAATATGACCAATCATGGCTTTACTGCTCTTGAGAAGATTTTTAAAGATTTTCCTATATATTCCTTTGTAAAACTTTGATTGCCCATTGCAAGCCCCGCCCTAACCCCGGGGGTCATGATTTGGACAAATCTGAATCGACACTACCTGAGGATGCTTCCATATAAATATTAACAATCATGGCTTTGCTGTTCTTGAGAAGATTTTTAAAGATTTTTCCTAATTATTCCTTTGTAAAACTTTGATCACCCATTGCAGCCCCTCCCTACCCCTAGGGGTCATGATTTGAACAACCTTGAATCTACACTACCTGAGGATGCTTCCACATAAGTTTAATATTTTCTGGCCCACTAGTTTTTAAGATTTTTAAATGATGCCATTAAATTTTCACTAATTATCTCCCCTTGGAAGAAGGCATTGCCCTTTATTTGAATAAACTTGAATCCCCTTCAGCCAAGGATACTTTGTGGCAAGTTTGGTTGAAATTGGCCCAGTGGTTCTGGAGAAGAAGCTGAAATTGTAAAAGTTAATGATGACAACGACAACAACAACAACTTTAGCCTTCGGCTCAGGTGAGCTAAAAAGTAAGTAAATCATAGTGTTAAATTTTAAATATACATATATTTAACATGGTAAAAGATTTGATAACAATATGCTGCAGTAATTATAATGTAGTAAGGAGTACATGCAAAAGTAAGCCATCATGAAAACAATGTACACATGTACATGTATTACAATGTTTCAAATGCCTGAGAAAGGTAAAAATCATGCATTCACTCTGTAGATCTGTCTGACTGGTTACTGAGAGTCCACAAGGAAAATCTATTCTTCTTGTCCATTTATGGGGAAATACTGACAATAACTTCAGAATACAGTCTGACAATGGTCAAGTAGGTAGTATCATCATGCTGTCTTGTGGAGACTCATTATCCTCCGAGTATTTTCTCTTTAACATTCCTATAAATGCAAATAAACACTGCAAAACTCTTTGTATGCATACTCCAATGTGTGAAACTTAATCCCTAGAAAAGTATGAAAGATCAACATACCACTTTCTAGAGGGGTATAATTGTGTTCAAAACTGAGTCTTGCTCTGTACATTGGCTCATATTCCTAGTGAAAGAAGAAAAGTCAGTATAAACTCTATATAAATTGTACTCATTGAAGTGCTTTAATACATGCAGAATTCAGAGGGTACCAGTATTTGAAATGCTTTGACTTACATTTAATTGTTGTACAAATCCCTCATTTGGGTTAATACAGAACCTCTTCTGCTGGACATGGACAAATGCATCCCTGTGGATTGATTTTTTTTTTTTAAATATTCTTTGTAACATTTTAAAGTAACAGCCTCATGAGCCTTGAGGGTCACTTGAGCAGATATAGAGCACCTCAATAAATAATAAGTAATCCTCAACCTCAGATCTTAGCTCTGAACACGGGACATGAATTTCACAATTTAGGTAGAGTGTTCATTATAGTCATCTATACTTATAAATTAACAAATTTTGGAAATAAACTCCGAAACGGGTGCACCAGAGTTCTTAATTACTCCTCTAACAATGCACTATATACAAGATGATGTCCGTAAACTATATTTAGATTTCACTCGCATAGTAAGTATCGTACATTAAATTAAAAGTATACTTTCATTTTCTATAAACAGCCATGAAATAGCAAAAACGTGAGTACGGTGACGTTTCCGGTTGGCGGATCTAAGTTACTGGCAATTTTTAATGAAACTGACAACAAGCAATCGTTTATTTATTTCATAAAACGTCATCACTGAATTATTCAATCAAAACTTTATTTAAATGATATAAAAGAAAATAAGTTATGATAACCGATTAAAAAGGGAAATGTGCAAACTATTTTCGTCATTCACCGATCTTAATATTGACGGAAGCTTCTAGAACATCATAAAGCATCAAGCCCGATGTTAAAAAGAAAAAAACGAGGCGATTATAGCTGCATGAACATAAAAAAAGCTTTTGTGTGAATGGTCATTGAAATAATGGTAAATCATTGATAACACTATAAGTTCTGAATATATTTAAATATCGAAAAACTATAATTACATATATGTTGTAAGTTTTCTTAATAAATTTATCGGTAAAATTTGTATATATATTCCTTACTGAGAGGATCGTAACGAACGATTTGTATTTCGTAATAAACTTGCTTACATAAAAAAAGAAAATTAATAAATAAGGTAATGTTTAAATACAATTAAAGGTATAAAATTTCGTGCTTTAATCAACACATTTCAGTTTTTTTCTCTGTGCTATTTCATTGGGCGTTAAAAGCTAATTTTACATAGGTACTTGGTTCTTGGTTTATAAATATGTTTGTACCGTAATACTGATATGTAAAAAAAAGGTAAAGTACATATTTTACATATCAATAAGGTACATACATATTTATAAATCAAGACCCAAGTACCTGTGAATTTTTACTCCCCCCCCCCCCCCCAATCAATTTATCAGTAAAATGTGCATATTCGCTACTTTTATCCTTGACGGAAATGAAATAAGAGCATCTGAAGTAAAATATCCATAACATAGTATAACAGGTTCCACAATAAACGTCAATTAATGAAATTATTTTTTCAAGCTTTTACAAAAAGGGGAAGGGGGGGGGGGAGGGTGGAGACGTACATCTACTTCTTGCTTCATTTGAACAAAGTATTTCTTCCTGCTATACGCCTGTAGGCTGTCAGTAGAAACTACAATATATTTTCTGACGGTAGTGGTTTAAATTCAATTCCCCGCGCTTGCGCGGGATTTCATCTAGTTATCTTCTAAATTTACAAATGATGCTCACAGCATACCTGCACAGCAATGGACTAACCAGAGCAATCAGTGATTCAGGTGATGTTAAAAGACAGGGAAATGTGAAAATTATCAATCTTTTATTCTTAATAATTCTAGTTTGCTTACATTTAAAACATACCTATAAGATAGGCCATATTTCTCCATGATGTAGGCAATCACTAGTGATGCACTGAAATTATTTTATAGAAACATTACTTTGTACATGTACACAGAAAAGTTTTAAAATACAAGAGGTCCAAGGGCCTTAATAGTTACCTGAGTGTAATACAACCCTGTAAAGGATCCATGAAAAAATAAATAATTAAATAATTACACAAGATAAACTGAAACTCAAAAATGAGATAAAGGATGTTCAGGACTTCAGGGATTTACAAAATAGTTAGATATCAGCAACAACTCAGAAACTTGCTTGTATAGGCCAGTGCTATTTACCCTCTAGTATCAGCTAACATAACAAAACTATAGTGCATATTATTACACATGTATACTCTATTTATACTCCCTATGTAACCTATATGAACACAAACAGTTCGTAACACTATATATTCACCAGATTTGAGGCCGCATTCACCGAAGGGTCAGTGATTGTGCAGCGGCGATTGTAACATCACAAACAACACTTCAATTAACATTGTAAACAATGGTTGCAAGTGCAGGAGCCAGCTGTGTATCTGAGCAGGAAAAATGTTAGGCAAGCCTATTGCTGGATTTTTTTTCCAAACATTCTAACATTTTATAACTGATGAAAAAGAACACACTTAAGTTAAAACTTTTAATTGGGATTTTTAAAAAATCTTTTTATGACAGTTCATTAATGAAAATTGTGTCATCATGCAGCCTTCAATGTCTTATTTATTCAATTAAAACAATCTTTTCATTTTCTCCTTAGAAAGCCCCCAAATTTCATAAAAATTAATTTAAACTAATATCGATCTTTCAATACTTAAGCCATATTTGAGAGGAGATGTCTTAAAGATCGGTTAAATAAAATTTCCGTGAACATGTAAGTAGCATTCTTTCCTAAACAGGAAAAATCTATCGATCATATGTCATTTTAAATAAATTTTGCTTTAGATACTTTTGAATTAATTTAGTTTTAATCATCATTTCAAAGCATTAATTTTAAATATTATAACAATAAATAATTTCAAAATCTTTGTAAGTTTGTATCATAAAGCTCAATCACAATATACATGTAATTTATTTTGGCAAAAAATCTATCAAGAAGAGTAAGATACGATTATATCTGAAAAAAAAATCATTTTGAATTTTACCCCCCCCCCCCCCCCCAACTTTAGATATTGCTTCCAAACAATGGTTTAAACAGTGGGAGAAGGGGCAACCCCCCAGAGAAATCTAACAAGTAAAATTTAAATAATTAAAAAAAAACCTTGAAAATCCTATTTTGTGTGTTCGTGTGTGGGGAGGGGTGGACTTTCTCTGTTTGTAGATTTTTTTTTCAAGTGCTGGAATATTCGCCAGCGCTCGACCTTACAGCAACAGAGTGTAAGAGGGGGCAACATCTAAATGAAAATTTACATATTAGATCTAGAGGAACAGACTATACTACAGGAAAAGTCTTTGCTCAGAAAAATGCCCCCTCCCCCCTTTTCGTTCTATGGACCTGTAAATGCGATGTGAAAAAAGTTCTCCTTGTTTAATATAGATTAAACAAAGCTTAAAATGTGGTGTAAGTGATGCTTCAATTAAGTGCCAAGTGTTAGGTTAAAAAAAGTTATGCTTAATTGAAAATAATTTATAATAAATTATTTATTACTTGTACGCGAAAAAATATTTAATTGTTTAGTGCCTTCAATTATAGCAAGTATTTAATCAATAAATTTAATCAATAAATCTATGCTTTAGTACACAGTTTTATCAGTAAATATTAAATTATTTGATTTTGACTAGTTTGTTCAATCAAGGCAACACAGGTAAACTCTACCTGGACTCCTTAGAGGGCCTCTTAATTGAGTGTGATAATTAAATAGTTGTTTTAGCCAGTAGACGTTCGGGGAATAAACCATTCAAATCAGCACTATATAATAAAACAATTATGGACTCTTCTGGTGGTGAATATGGTTTGAATATGGTTTGTTATTCACCAGAAAAATATCAATATTGACCTCAGCTTTGCCTCAGTCAATATTGATATTTTTCTGGTGAATAAAAAACCATATTCACCAACGAGAGAGTCCCTAATTGTACAATATTCACTGAGTACACCCAGTGCAATAGCCTCTCATTGTCTTTGAATTATATCTTATGTACATATATATGTTATTTTAAACTGAGTTTTATTCAATCATCTGTTATTTACAAGTCTACCTGACTGTTTAAGACTGAAAATACTAATAAATCCGAAGATTTAAAATACTGAGGGTAAAAAATATTTAAAGAATAAGTGCTTGGGATTTCCAAATCACTTCCACATATCCATGGCATTTAAGATATCGGTGTTTGAGATACCGAAGTTCAACTGTAACCTACTTTTAATTTTATTTTGCTGAAATATATGTAAAAACTGAAGATCAACAGTGTAATCACGAATTCCAGTTCTTGCAATGTGATGTCTAGGAGTCATTGGATACAACCATAGAAACTGTCAAACACTGTCCTGCAAAGGCCTTTAAGCTTCACAGATCATATCCAACACCACTGAACATAATTTTACTCAAAGCATTAATAACTCTTCAAGAGTACCAATCATACCTTCTAGACATCCCAGCATTTCCATGGACAAGAACTTTACCATTTCTTGCAAAACTCTCATTTATAAATGCCTTCACCTTTAAAAGGAAATTAGGAAATCAGTCATTCTGATACAAGTGAATCACACGGTCACATCCATAAAAGAAAATCAAACAATATTGTACATGCATTTTAGCATCTTAATCCATGGGAATATAATTTGTTTTAATATTTTTCCTTTGGCATAAAATTAATCACAAGTATACTTTCAATGTCTTCAGTTTGAATGTACATGTATTGACCTTTCAAAATTACATGTAATTACATTTTTTGAAACTGTTACATTATTTAGAACACAAATAAGGTAGTGAATGTATTACTATAGTGAATATAATGGGTATCTAATACTTTTGCAGGCTTTGTCTATTACTGTGAAATACCTTGCATCAAATATTTTTATGAATAGGAAATCAGTATTCAAATTAGGGCTGGGACGATATATCGAGATATTGATAATATCGATTCAATGTTAGGATGATACGCATATCGATACGTATGAAGAAATATCGACATATCGTCCAAAAAATTCTGAATTATGTTTTTCTTTGTTTACTTAACATTTTGGGTTTAATATATAAAATTAATATGCTTAATATAAATATGAATATGAAATACATAATAATTAAGACCACTTGTGCAAAATAATTAAGTTTTACAACAGATATGCAACTTCTTTGGATAAATTATTCTTATTTGTGAAGAAATGTTTTGTTCATTTCAATATAAAAAAAGAATTTACAACAAAATAAACATATCGTGATACATATCGTATCGTGGCTCAAATATCGGGATACGTATCGATATAGAAAAAGTTGTATCGTCCCAGCCCTAATTCAAATGTCATTTATTTTGGCATTCATTGCATTGTTTCACAGATTTTGTTCACATGAATAGCTTGCTTGTTTACTAAAAAAAATCCAATTACTGTATCTATCTTCATTAAGCTATGAAATACCTTACATCAAATATTTCTCAGAAATGGATATATGAAAAGATAATTGCCAAAATTACCATATTAAAGTGAATGAAATCCCTGAAACCAAGTGAAAACTGTTTAAAACACTTTATTCAGCTTATATAAATAAAAGAGATAATCACACTAACCTTTTGAAAATACTGAATAATATTTTCTGTATAAACATCTGCAACATTTAGGACCAAGTATCTGTAATTGATATTTAATTGCACAAAAATTACCAGTACTGAAATTCAAATTCTAATATTACAACCAAAACAAATATCCCTAAAGTTAACAGAATTCTGTTATAATATACACAAAAGAAACTGAGATAAAACATATGAATTTTTTGCCCTGTTAAATGTTAAAGTCATATGTGGCGTATTTTTGATAAGTTCAGACTAACTAAAATTAAGAAGATCTTTCTATTTGTTTTATTACTTTTTTTAAAGATATGACTTTCCTGTAAATTACACAATTTAAATCAATCGCATTTAATAGATATTAGAAATTTAAAACAATAACCGATTTATTTACCGACTCTGTATTTAAATATCAGACACTGTTTAAAGTCAATTTAACTATAGAAATGTGGGGTTATTCAAGTTCAAAATCTGTGAAAATTTTAATATGAACGTAAATAAGAAATATCATGTTCATCTACACTCAATCTTGTATTTTTATTTTTTAGCTCAAATATGCCATATATAGCTTTAAGCACAATGCCAAAGGCTTTGATCTTCTACTTATATATACCTCATCTTGTCTGGAAAGTTTGGTTTGATGAAATTAGCCTCAGCAGCATGTCTTACACATACAATATCAGTTATTCCCATGGATTCTAGATAGCGTAACTGCAGAGAAAATCATATATCTATATAAAATACTTTGTAGCTTTTAAGCTTGAATAAGAAATACTTTATACACAAGACCTACTATGTATACAATGTATACTACGATATTAATATCATCACATATAATTAGGAAAGAAATAAAAGCAACCAATGAATGGGGGAAATTGTATGATTCAACCTTTTTTTCTGTTAAATATTGCATCCTTTGAGCACATATGTGTGTACCATGTGAGATTGAAGTATCCCAATGTTTAATCCAAATATTATAATTATACTTTATGATTTTTTAATTGAAACTGCATAACTTTTGAATTACACTGTACTTGATTACTTAAAAAGTGTCATAAATGTATAATTTCATTGCAAAAATGACTATATAATATCAGTTTTGTGAATAGCCATATCAAAACCCTTAATGAGAATGTGTTAATATTCAGTAAATTTGTGACATTTCCAATCTAATTAAAATTAGATGTTAGATCCGCTCGCATACTCGCTACACTAGTTAGTGTAGCGAGTATGCGAGCGGATCTAACATCTAATTTTAATTAGATTGTGACATTTCTAGCCTGTTGAAAATGGGAAAGGGGGTCAATTTCCGTAATTTTAATTCCATTTTCCTTTCATTTTATATTTAATAATGATCCAGGTTGGATATCTCACGAAAGAGTTCTACTCAAAATCAGAGAATTATTGGCAAAAAATCCCACATAGATAAAAAGTCATGAATCACATCCACCCACCTCTGACATAGAAAATTAGTCAATACCTAATCCTCTCTTCTTGATACGTCAATGGAAATTGAATTCATATGTTTGGGTTTAAGGAATTTTACCATATTTTGAACATGTATCAGTTTCATAGCTTGACATGCACAATGATGTACATTGAAGTGGTAAAATTTTTCATTTGAATGGAACTTTCGGGTCCTTCTTATCGAATGTCACTTGCTACATAATGCCACGCCCATTTCTTTAGAAATGAGAAAGCAATATTTGTCGCTGTGTTTTAAGACACTACACTCTCTGAGACTAGCGACACAAGTTTTGCTGAAATGGGGATTTTATGAAGTTAGGAGAGAGTAAGAGACTCCCTGATTCTGTAAAACTCACATATTTCAATAAATCTGCTCATAATTATGACTTTATCATTCTTGTTCGTGTTAACACAACACTTGTATCCATCAACAAATGTGTTTACTCAGTGTTTATGTAAACTGTCAATCTGATTGGCTATTGTATTTATCAAATACCTGTTCCATCGGTATTCAAATGAAATATGTGACAATTTTTTCCTTTCTGAAGAAATTGGTGAGTCATTATATAAACTCAAAAGGTTCCATTCAAACAGAAAATTTTACCTCTTCAATGCAATATATCATTGTAGTATATGTCCCTAAATGAATCATCTATGCATTTTTGTTTCAGATAATACCTACAGTTTCTAGGCAGGAAACCTACTCCAAAAACTTAGTACATGTATTATCTCAGCTAAATCCTGTCAGATTCAGCATCTTAAGGATGCATCTTTAGATAAATTATATATGATCATTTGCTACAGGTAGGAGCATAGAGACCAACTCCAAAAACCTTTATCTGATCTCTTAACCAAAAAGAAAAATAAAGAAAAAAGAAAAGAAAAAAGATTATAAAAAAAGGAAAGGAAGAAAAATTATGAAGTCAGAGGCAAATATCAAAGCATGACTGTTAAATGCATCATCCATACAAGTTTGGTTCTGATTTGGCTTGTAGATACTTAAGAAATGGACCTGCATTAAAAACTTTTAATGTGGGACTAAGGTGCAGAGCCAGAAAAAGATTATCTTCTTTTAGATGAGTTAATTTAAAATAACATGACTGTAAAATTAATCTAAATATGATACTTTCTTTAGTGATCATTCTTGGCTGCAAAGTAAGGAAAAATTACCTTGTTCTTGTTTGCTGCAGCATATGGACCTAAGTAGAGATTAGGTATAATTTCCTGCATTTCTCTCCTCATGGTATACTCCCAGTCCTTTCAATTAAATTAGACACATAAAATCATTTTTAATTCAACAGGAATGTCATTGGGATACTACTTATTAGAGATGAACAAATTTAATTCAGATTTTCACTGTTTTAATTACATTAACATCATGTATTATTTACCTCTTCTGATATTTATATATTTCACTATTAAGTGTAATTTGATATATTTTGCAGATTTTCTGAAAATCACAGTAAAAAAATTGATTATCTGCAAAATATTTAATATAAATTTTTAATTCTAATACTTTGTATCAGTTTAATGAATTACCGGTAATATGCATCAGAACACCTATAAATTTCTATAAATCTTGATAAAAAGTTTCAATGTGTTCCAAATAAAATCAAAAATTTCATTACGCAGCCTGTTAAAGTTACAAATAAGGAGGCAAGGCCTTATTTATATAAGAAATGAGTCAATTGTCATAGTGACATTATCATGGTAAAAATTGACACATTTAGTGTGCAGTGAAGGGCAGAGTATGTTACTTTTTCACAGTAAAATTTTGTTTATAATTAAAATGAATATTTCTTGCAATATTACTTTATCCAATATTAGTAAAGTACTATAAAAAGAAATTCAGCCCATCCTTTAAAGAATGTAATTTTATCACAAAAAGTACCAATATTTCCATTGTACGCCATATAATCTTACACTGCTCATAAAATGTATTGCAGTTAAAAGTAAACTGGTCTAATTTTTATATCGGTATATTAAAACAGTTAAAGCATATTTTTGAAGGAATCAGCAAGATTCCAGTTCCCCTCAATGAAGCTTCGGGAAATAGACTTGCTCTTGGGGAACTGGAATCCTGCTGATTCCCTCAAATATACGTGTAATGATAGTGCAGAAGCAACTTTCACAAGTATTCATAGTTCTCTTGTACCATCAAGGAGTGGAACAACTTACCTCTAGGAATTGTAAAAGGTAGAAACTTTTGTAGAATAAAACGTGTGTTCACCTTCTATAGGTTGGGACCAATCGCCCAAATGGGATATAATAGCCCGTTTGTGATATAGATATAATATCCCAAATGGGATATAAATTCAAAACAAGATGTGTTTGAGTAACACTGATGCCCCCGTATGGCAGCTTATGGCGAAGGTTAAAGTTTCTCAAATGCAAGTCAAAATCCAGGCCAAAAGATAAAAAATGTTGGTACTCAAAGAAAGGTCTTGTCTCAAGGAATATACCTGTAAAATTTGAAAGACCTAGCTGCAACTGTTCAAAAGTTATGGCAAAGGTTTAAGTTTTTTAAAAGTAAGTAAAATGTTAAGGTCAAGGTCAAAGTTGTTGGTATCCAAAGGAAGGTCTTGTCACAAGGATTACATATGTGAAGTCAGGGCTCGACATTAATTTTTTTTCCTACTCGTCCATTCGGACAAGTGACCAAGACATTTACTTGTCCGAACTTCAACTTCACTTGTCCGATTTTTTTTCAATAAAGATCTAAAACTGTCAATTGGAAAACTAAATAAAGTCCATTACATGTGGGTGATATTATTCATAAATACAACAAACACATAAAACAAAATTTTATCTAGACTTTCTGTCCTGACAACAACATCAATGTTCACAAGTGAAACTGTCAACATAAATTCGCAAGTTTCATGCCTTTGAGTATGCAATAAGTGAACTTTGATCCCGATCGAATGTGAACTCAATTACATGGCGAACCATATCGGGATCGAAGTTCGGTTTTTATGTACTGTTTCCGTATCTAAAGTACCGGTAAACTTTCAAGTCATTTTTAAATTATTTGGAGACTTCTTTACATTAAAATACACTTGTCCAATCGGACAAGTGCCCAGCAATATCCACTTGTCCGTAATTTTTTTCCATTGGTACCGGACAAGCGGACAAGCGTTAATGTCGAGCCCTGGAAGTATGAAAGCCCTAGCACCAACCATTCAAAAGTTATGGCCAAGGTTAAAGTTTTTTGAAAGTAGGTCAAACTCCTATGTCAATGTCAAAGGGTCAAAGTGGCTGGTATCCAAAGGAAGGTCTTGTCACAAGGATTACATATGTGAAGTATGAAAGCCTTAGCTCTAACCGTTCAAAAGTTATGGCCAAGGTTAAAGTTTTTCAAAAGTAGGTTAAACTCCTAGGTCAAGGTCAAAGGTTCAAAGAGGTTGATATCCAGAGGAAGGTCTTGTCATGAGGAATACACAAGTGAAGTTTGAAACCCCAAGCACCAACTGTTCAAAAGTTATGGCCAAGGTTAAAGTTTTTCAAAAGGAGGTCAAACTCCAAGGTCAAGGTCAAAAGGTCAAAGTTGTTGGTATCCAAAGGAAGGCCTTGTCACAAAGAACACACATGTGAAGTTTGAAACCCCAAGCGCCAACTGTTCAGAAGTTATGGCCAAGGTTAAAGTCTCATAAAATTTTGCAAAAGTGGGTCAAACTCCAAGGTCAAGGTCAAAAGGTCAAATATGATGGTACCCAATGAAAGGTCTTGTCACAAGGAATACACATGTGAAATATGAAAGTCATAGCTCCAACCAATCAAATGTTATGGGCAAGGTTAAAGTTGACAACAGACAAACAGGACAAAAACAATATAATCTGGGGATCTTTCGATTCGGGGGCATAAAAATGAATATTTTTATTTTTGCTATAAATATCACAAATCCGCATTAAGATACTTATAAAGAAATAACTTTTTGTTGACTAATTTTTCTGCATGCCCACTGTTTAGGAGATTGATCCCTCGGAAGTTCCTAAACTTCTTTAATATGGGATCAATCTAACAAACTGTAGGGTTGCAGAAAAAATTGCTTGCTTAAAGTTACTCCTTTTTAAGTATTTTGATGCGAATTTAGGATATTAGTAGCCAAAATAAAAATGTTCATTTTTTGCACTGTAAATTTATATCCCATTTGGGATATTATTATAGTTATCCCACACCGATTATTAATATTATATCCCATTTGGGCGATTGGTCCCGACCTGTTCTACAGTATTCTACTTACAACAATCTCCTGTGTTGGCACTGTGGGAAATTCTACCTCCATTTTGATGTCATGATTATTCTATCGCGGTTTAATTAAACACGCTTTCTTCATAAACTTTCACTTTCATGTTTTGGTTTGATGACGTCATCAACGGTTACTATATATAAAATCGTACCTTGACTTATTCGTTATACAAAATAAATAAATTCGAATTCCAGTAATAAAATCCTCAATAAATAATTGAGTGATTATGATAATTTATAACGTATGGGCTTTCTTGTTACTTAATGCACAACAGAACTATATAGAATGGATAATTATTATCATAGATTGTATATCGAATATTCCAAGAACGATTACTTCATTATGTTAGTTTCTCTTTCTCTAGCTCGGGTGTACATCCTTTTGGAATCTGAGAATTATAATAGTTAGAATTAATCCACGCCTTATGTAAGATGTGATTTGTGTGTATTATACTCTGTTGGAGTAAAACCTTCCTACGCACTGTTTAAGTCTGCAGCGATAACACAATCTGTAGTGCTCATTTCCATACCACTTTTACTCAACACTCTGGTTCGATTTTCTCCACCTATCATTCAGGATGGAGGCTTGGGTGCATTATGGTTTCAACATTCTCTTGCACATTCTAATAGTGTCATTAGTTTTACTGAAGTGTTATGGTGAAGAATTTCTACAAAGCGTTACAGAAGAAGTTTTAGCAGGGAATTACACAATCTATCGTATCAAAAGCCGTGGACGACTGCGACTGGAACTTGTGTCCCATGAAGGTGATGCTGATATTTATGTGTCAGATAGTGAGTCACGTCCTTCATATGAAAATTATGATTTGAAGTCTATTACTTGTGGTGTTGATTTAATAGAAGTGTCTTCCAAAATGAAGAGGCCAGTGGCAGTCGGTGTGTTTGGACATCCTTTTTATAGGACCTCGAAGTATACCTTGTCTGTGTACAAACTACCTGATGTAGAGGTGGACTATGCAACATTAGATGCCTTATACAATAGTTATACTGAAGATACATCTGAAAATGAGCAGGATTCCCAGAAATCTAATGATGAACACACATCTACCGAGGACCAGCCCGATGAAGATTCTACCTTGTGGACCATTGTCATAACAATTTTGAAAATACTGTTTGACATTCTATTATAAGTTACATTTGAAGCACTTTGGAAGATACTGAAAATGTCAAAAACATATGATTCCCCAATCCCCATCAACCCAATGCAATATGTGCCCAGAAAGTAGGGAAAGAGGAGTGCTTCTTGAATTCTCCTTTAAGTAATAACAGTCTATCAAATTATTATGCATTATTCCTTCAGGTAGATATGGGCACATGTTGAGGCAAACATGGTTTTCAATTTCTGTTTAATAGAATTGAGCTTCTTACAATATACAGTGTACATGTATTGAATGTACACCTTTACATCTTTATAGACTTTAATTCATTTTATTTAGCAAATTTTCCTGATATGAGTGCATGTAACTTTGGAATAATTCCTTCTCTCTGCAGAATTATTCTCAATTATTTTCTTTACGGTGTTAAATCAGGTCTAAACCAAGCTAAATGCTGTGTATGTTGCCGGCATGGATTTTGCTAGCAGCTGCTCAAACAAAACAGAGAAATTATGTAGAATTGTATCTTGATCACTCGAACTTATATTTTGCTACAAAGAACATTCTCTTCATAGTGTCTGTCTTGAGATTTTCATCTAACAACGGGGTTGCAATTATATCTAATAATCTTAGATCATTTATACATTGTTTGCAATTAGAGGGATTCATTCTTGAAGTATGACAATTTTATTATACCCTTAACACATGATTCAAAGTAACTATATTTTTAACATTAAGATCAATATCTATTGAGAATTGCACAGACATTTCTTACCTAAATAAATTTTTTTTTGTTTTGTTCTGTTTTCTTTTTCTTTTTTTTCTTTTTTTCAAATCATCACTGCAAGCCAATGTTTTGGTTTTTTAGCTCACCTGAGCCCCAGGGTAGGATGGCAGACATAAAATTCCGTTTCAAGAACAGCAAAACCATGATTAGTTATATGAATATAGAACCATCCTCAGAAAGTTTAGATTCAATTTCATTCAAAACATGGCAACTGGGGATAGGTTATGCCTAGAACAGTTGATCAAAGCTTTACGTATGAATATATAGAAGAAGAAATCTGCTGACAAAGAACAGCAGGGCCATATTGACTCAGGTGAGCGTTGTGGCCCATGGGCCTCTTGTTTTTTTTTGGGGGGGGGGGGGGGGGGGTTGATTATGAGTCTGCACAAGTCAGACTTGAAAAAAACAAACAAATAAATAAATGGTTACACTGCAAAAAAAAAATAAACAAATAAATAAACATTTCAAAGAAAAAATTATGCAATGATAATTTTCTTTTAACTTTTTATGTATAAACTTTGCTTAAGTCATGAGAACTCTATGACTATAAGCATGATGAGAGAAGAATGAATGAGGTTGCTGATGGGAGTAATACCCCTTGTTGGGCATTCAGTATATCCCATCGAACTTGAATTAAAGACACCACAGAGTTTGACACATCTGTTTCATATTTATACATGTTATACTAGTGAAAGACATTGATGGCAAACTGACAACTAAACTTTATAATAAATGTGATGACTTCAACGTTTTAGTCTTAGTCTTTTTAGATATCAAGCAGTCTTAATATTTATGTAACAATATAACATGTGGAGTTTATGTCTCCCATTTGATTCAATACATGAGAGCATGTTCTGCATCCAAACAATTTCTAAAATGATGCAGGCTATTGTCAAATAAGTTGATGATACAAGGATATCTACAATCTCATTTAAATTCAACATTTTGCAAATTCTGTTGTTGATGCAATGACCTTGTTTGCAAATACAATCTGTTGTTAAGTTGAATGACATCTTTCATGATACATATTGTTAGGCCATTATTGTCACTCTGATTTGTCTGTGGATTTTTCCATTCACCCTATCATGGCAAGGAGCACATGGCTGGTGTGACCAGTCGACAGGGGATGTTTACTCCTTCATGGCATCTGATCCCACCTCTGTTTTCAGAGGTCTTTGTTGGATCTGCTCATAATTTGTATTGTTTTTATGAACTTGGGAATGATAGCTATTCGTCAACTTCCATATAAAGATGCACAAATGGATGAACAAATAGATAAATTGATTCCAATAAACCTCTCCTGAATCTTGATCAATGTAGATCGATGCAATGATTAATTGAAGCAAAATGAGAGAAAACATGGAAAAGAAAGAGTGGAAATATTTTACTCTGGGTAATTTTTGTGATTAGAGCAAAATTAAGCCCAAAATGAAATGTATAACTCATATATAATATATGATCAGTCTATTTCCTTTATTATGCAATATAATCCCCACATGTAAACAAAATTGAAAAAAAAAATTCCTGGCAAATTGTTCCACATTTACAGTACAAGGAGTTGATGCAGTTGATACATTTAATTTCAATTGCACTACAGTTACTGCACACCCACAGGATAAGTCACTCAGATGACATATTGCTATATGTTTTTGTCCATTTTCATGCGTTGTCCATTATGCTTTAAGGTTTGAACATTTTCAGCTTCTCCTCTAAAACCACTGCACCCTTTTCAACCAATTTTGGTATATACATGTATCATCTATGGGCAGAGGGAACAAAAACTGTGATTTTCATTACATCTGTCCCCTGGGGCCTGAGGATGTGGCCAGAATCAGTAAAACTAATGAACTCTTCTAAAATCTTGTGTACTCCTGAACATCAAGTAACCTGTTGGCATCACTATAAAAAGCAATAAGCCCTCTATCAAAATTATGAAATTCATGACCCCAGGGGTGGGAATTCTAGTGTTAGGGTAGGGCTAAAATGATCATATAGTGAAAATGCTTTAATTCTTTGAAAATCTTTTCTGCACCGAGGTATATACCTTTCAGAAAAATGTGACACACCTTCTACCTAAGATGCATTAATTGGCCAATTTTGATGATTCTGGGTCTAATAGATTTCCAGTTATGAGACGGACAGGATTTTGCCATATTTGGCCATATCATTTAAATTAAAGGTCACAGCGACCTACTTTTAATGTGAGATTTATAAACTTTCTATCAAAAATGTATCAGCTGACAAAAGTTTGATTATTCTAGGCCTCACAGTATTAAAGTTATGAGCTGGACATGAAAAAGCTAAAAGACAGACAAACGCTTACGAACATCATTCCATAAGTATTGTCTTACGACAGGTGTATAAAAATTACATTCCAGCATTGTTCTTCTCATGAAATTCCTGAAGATATAGCATATCTAGTGCTTTTGCAATGGTCTATAACACATCACTTGGCATAGCTTGATGTCACAATAACCATTTGAGTAAATGGAAAAATTATTTTAGAGAATATCTTTGAAATATTGTGTGATTGTTTGCATTAACAAGAGGTCCATTGGCCACAAAAGTAACTTTAGCCCTGCTGTTCTTCATCAGATTTCCAAAAAGAATTCTATATTCCCATGAAAAATCCCATATTGTAGGCCCACTCTCTCTCTAAAGGATAACACGATTACTTAACCCTTTTACAGTGGAGGTAGGAAATGTCAATTAGCTGGTGGCAAGGTGCTGTTCAACATACTGGGATATTGGTCACTGTAGATTTTTAAGGTACACATGAAAAAGAAGTCCTGGTGAAATATCTTCCTAAATATTTGGTGCACCACGCTGATAAAATTCAGGAGATGCTAGTTATCTTGAGTTACATTTTTGTAGATATCTTCCACTAAGCTGACTCTTCTTCTAATAAATTCAACCATTTCTTTCTGATAAACCTTTACTTTCGGAAGTCTAAACATTCCGAATAAGATGACTAACTTTCTGTAGTGCAACCATTGGCAATACATTGTACTTTCAGCATATTCATTTGAATTAATTCAAAGAATAATTCAATTGTCACTAGCATAAACAAGAGATGTTTGTGAAACACTTATGCCCCCCCCCCCCCCCCCCCAATAGTTGGAATTTTTCAAAGTCCAAGGAGCATAACTCTGTCAAAAAATTGCTCGATCAGACCTAGAACAAAACTTGACCTAGATATTCTTATGATAAATCTTTATACCAAATTTCATATCAGTATGTGCAACCTCTGCAAAGAAAATGAATGGAAACTGCAAATAATTTGAATTTTTCAAAGTCCAAGGGCATAACTCTGTCAAAAATTGCTTGATCAGACCCAAAACAGAATTTGACCTAGATATTCTCATGATAAATCTGTATACCAAATTTCATTTCAGTATGTGCAACCTCTGCAAAAAAAATGGACACTGCAAATAATTGGAATTTTTCTAAGTACAAGAGGCATAACTCTGTGAAAAATTGCTCGATCATATCCAAAACAGAACTTGGCCTAGATATTCTTATGATAAATCTGTATACCAAACTGCAAATGATTGGAATTTTTTGAAGTACAAAATGCATAACTGTCAAAAATTGATCAATCATACCCAAAACAGAACTTGACCAAGATATTCTTATGATAAATCTGTATACCAAATTTCATTTCAGTATGTGAACCTCTGCAAAAAAAAAAAAAGAATGGAAACTGCAAATAATTGGAATTTTTCTACGTACAAAAGGCATAACTCTGTCAAAAATTGCTTGATCATATCCAAAACAGAACTTGGCCTAGATATTCTTATGATAAATCTGTATACCAAATTTCATTTCAGTATGTGCAACCTCTGCGAAGAAAATGAACTAAAACTGTAGGTGGACGGACAGACTGGCTGACCGACAGACAGCGGCAAAGCAATATGCCATCCCTTCTTCGAAGAGGGCATAACAATATGTTATGCAAATGATGTGAGATTTCGAACTTTCTTGACTTTATGGCAAAAGAGTAGCAGTAAATTAGATAACCACGAGGTAATCGCAATACATGTACTAAGTATTCACACAACAAATCAGAATGCTTGAATATCATTATGACTATTACGGCCTTGCAATAATGGAGAAGAAAGTGCATTATGTAAAATTTGATCCCTAGATTTAAGCTATTAACTCTAACCCACAATGCATAATTTGAAAAAAAAAAAAGGAAAAAGGAATCCACTCAAGTTAGGAATGTTTGCACACGAATGGTGCAATTGTGGTTCTTGAGACAGTTTTCCAAATTTATTTTCTATAACATCCCATGTAAAACTTTGATCTCCTCTTGTGCCCCATCCTATCCCCAGGAGCCATGATTTGAATAATTTAGAATCTACAGTTCCTCAAGAAGCTTTCACAGAAGTTTCATCTCTTCTGGTCCAGTGGTTCTTGAGAAGATTTTTAATGACCCAACCAATTTTTGCCTTTTCTTGATTATCTCCCCTTGGAATAGGACTTGGCCCTTCCTTTTGAACAATTTTGAATCTCCTTCACCCAAGGATGCTTTGTGCTAACTTTGGTTAAAACTGGCCCAGTGGTTTTTGAGGAGTCAGAAATTTGAAAAGTTTACAGATGGATGGACAGCTAGATGGACAGACGGTTAAAGGCCGAGGTTTTCAACCGGTCGGTTTTCCTCAGGTAAATTTGGTGTGGGGTGGAGCTAAATTGAAACGGCTGAGAAGCCCCGAGGGAACCAAGCTGGCTTGTGTATAGCTACCTATATACACAGTATTACCTGAAAATGTTTTCCTAAGACATTGTTTTACTTCGCGTGTTGGTCAATCGAAATGTTGATCGTCAAATTTCTGAAATAAATCATGCTAATTTTTTTATGTAGACTGATTCCTTTAGTTCAATTATTTTTTAAAAATATATTTGAATAAAGGAGACAATTTTAGTTTAATTTTGTGCATTAATAAATTTCAAATCTTTGGTTGAAATCTGGTGACACCGAGGGAAATAGTCATTCGCAAAACGAAAGTAGAAAAAAGCGCGGTCCTGAATAAGTCTCTAAAACTTAGAAATCCTGTTGGAAGTCTAAATTTTGTAGAAAATATATAATAAATTAGATAAATATTTTCAATATAATTCCTATGTGATTAACCCATGATGCATGTTTCGTAAAAATGGTCATGGCATCCGCGTATTGTTTCTCCGACAGGCAGACGAAACGGGAATATAATCACTTTATCCTACTTTTTTCCTCGGGATCCATAATTCTAAACATAACTTGCACACGCAATGACAGCTTTTATAATACAGCTTATTTCTGTTTAAAACTGGTTATTTTACCGTAACTTTCATCACCACGTCTCGAAGAAATATTACACGTCTTAAAATTTTCAACTTGGACAATATGACTATCTCATAATTATAAAAAAGGAATTATTATTTAAATAAATTACACGATGCTTCCAAAGCAATTCAGTATTTTCTGTTTTAAGTAAAATCGATGTACGTGTAAATTTGGATAATCTATACCGCATTATAGATTGTATAGTGAAATGAACCCCCTTTCTTAATTACAATTTAAATAGATACATGACTGATTTTCTTTTTCATTTATTTAATTATTTGACAGACTGATTAAATATAAATCATATATGGCTAATTACTTTATCATAAAGTAAAAAAAAATCATATCAGCTCTGGCTGCTTCTTTATCACGATGTATGCGGTAGGCATCAAAGACTGAATGTTAATTCAATGATCAGTACGATCCCGAGCCAAGGTATACAAGATATACACAACGGCAGGTAACAAAATGTCAATCAATTTTCAGTATCCAATCTCAGGCTTAATTTCATCTGATTGACAGGGGTTCACAGACCAGGTAAAATTGAGGGTGGTGCTTATTTCCTCCCCCTTTAAATGGACGGACAGACACCATACGATGGGTGATCAGAAAAGCTCACTTGAGCTTTCAGCTCAGGCGAGCTAAAAAAGTAACATAAGCATCAAATAATCATTTCATACATTGCATTCAGTTATAAATCACATCAAGTTTACATACACATACAAATTGAATAATGTGCACTGTTAAGTATGCACACTTTCTGTGATTGATGACACAGTGAAAAGATAATGATCATTGAATAATGTGCACTGTTAAGTATGCACACTTTCTGTGATTGATGACACAGTGAAAAGATGATGATATTCAGTTTAAATGATTGTTCTCTGGCTAAATTTGAATGACCTTGAATATGAATTTCATAGCACTGTTGGCATATTAATTTTAAAAACTTATAAGTCATTGTTTTTTGTTTTTTTTAAGAAGATTTAAGAATACAAAATGTATAAGCAATACAATATAGCTATGTGTGGATGGAAGGGGGTTGCTTCATGTTACATTGTTAGTACATTTCCTTGAATGGAAGATCCAATTTTGACTCTGAATATTTGACACAACTAGCCTACCAAGTGAATCCAAATACTTTATTTATCTATTTAATATTTGTTTTATTTATTTCTTTTTAAATCATTTATTTCTCATCTAGTAACTTTTATTTTTATATAAGTAGGAATCTTTAAAACAGAAGTTCAGTTTTATACTTACATTTAGCCAAGGTTGCTATATATTAATGACATTTTCAAGTACCAGAGAAGTACACATTTTTCTCTGCTTACAATACATGCACTCACATATAAACACAAGATTAACATCAAATCCCCAAAAATCTAACAGTGAGATGCAACACTATAAAAATTAAGCAATACCCCAAAAAATTCTATGTTCTACACTGGACTTAATAAAGTAACATATGAAACATCATGTTGAATCATGGAAGCATAACCATACAAAAAAAAAGATGAATTTCAATTCACTTTATTATAAAAAAGTAATTTTATGTATTACAATAGTTTGACAGCAACCTTTTACATATAAACATAAAATTAAACCAAAGTTTATCTCTTACTAGATACCCTCCTTTCATTGATTATTGATTATGTACAACATTTAATTCAAAATGCAAAAACTTTTACACAGTTCATTTACACTTGTGCCACATTCACACCAAATATCTGTAACACATTCACTGCTTCTTGAACCCTTTCAGAATAGGATAAATATTGTCAAAAGCTTCATAAATCTCTCCTCGAACTTTGGCTCCTGAGAAATATGAAAAGATTAATAGACAGTGATTTATAAATTAAACTGGTTTCAGGGAATAGCATTCTATAATTCAGGCATAGTGGTATAGTATATGGTCCAAAGAATTTGAAAATATTACAAGAGATCATTATCCATGGCATTAACATTTTCTAAGCCTGACAAAAATTATGATTATGCTTGCAAGAAGGATAACTTCCATGACAAATGATATAAAGATATACATGTATATATATTTTTTTTTTGCCGAGTCTGACCTGTGAGTACAACTTTTCCTGAGACAAAAATAAGTAACACAATACGAGGCTTCACCATTCTGTATATCAGTCCTGGGAATAATTCAGGTTCATAGCTGTTAAGATTAAACACACTCAACATCACTCAAAAGTAACTAAATATAAATAATGCAAATTGAGAAAAGGGAACAACATTCTGGATATCCTGAAGTGTGTAAATCTTTAATGATCTTACCTGGAGAACTGACCATGGGTCAAAACCAAACCCTCTAATCTTATAGGAAATTTTACATCACAGCTTCCAACCATGTTCTGAATCTTGAAATCCAAAAACTTTGCCTGTAAAGGATCAGATTATCTTGAGCTTCTTGTACCTAACATGTAGATATGTCAACCAAGTTAAAATGAGTTAACCATTTCACCATACTTGCTTGAAAAATAATAATTTTTATTGAGACCTACTAAATATATTAAATATCAACAAAACAAGTTTTGGAAAGTATATCTTTCAGTAAGGAAGAATCAGGCAGATTTTGGGTGACTAGGCCCCATGAGACAGACTTAGTTAAACTTTTAATCCTCTGAAAGATGCCAATTCACTGAAACTCAAAGTTTGTAATTAAAGCACTCTACAGATATAATTTTTAATACAAATCATTTTTATTCTGGAATGTTTGACCTCTATAGCATTATATTGCAGCCCTGATATATAATTTTTTTTAACATCAGACTTAGGTCTCATATGTTTCATGATAATAGAGCCAGAGGAGTACAATGACATGAAGAGAAAGATCTTTCATAAGTGTGCTTCTGAGTGCAGGGTATAGTTTTCGTTTATTTTCCCCTCAAAAGGATGAAATCCAATAACTTATGTCAGTGGCCCCTATTTCTAAGACCAATTAATAATAAATCTAGATAATTTTGATAGTTTTCATCAATAGAAAATAACAAGAGGCCCATGGGCCACAATGCTCACCTGAATAACTTTGGCCCTGCTGTTCTTTACCAGACGATCTTTTTGTAATACCTATTGTGGCCCCAACCTACCCACGGGGGTCATTATTTTAACAATTTAAAATCTACATTACCCCAGGATGTTTCCATATAAGTTTCAGCAATACTGGCCAAGTGGTTCTTGAGGAGAAAATTTTTAAAGATTTTTCCTATATATTTCAATGTAAAACTTGGATTCCCTATTGTGGCCCCGCCCTACCCCCCAGGGGTCAAGAATTGAATAATTTAGAATTTACGCTGCCCCAGGATGCTTCTACAAAAGTTTTAACTTTTCTGACCAAGTGGTTTGTTGAGAAGAAGATTATTTTTTCTATTTATTTCAATATGAAACTTGGATTCCCTATTGTGGCCGCACCCTGCCCCCGGTGATTTTTCCAATTTAGAATCTACACTACCTAAGGATGCTTCCACATAAGTTTCAGCTTTTCTGGCTCAGTGGTTCTTGAGAAGAAGATTTTTAACGATTTTTTCTATGTATTTCAATGTAAAACTTGGATTCCCTGTTGTGGCCCCGCCCTTCCCTCGGGGATCATAATTTGAACAATTTAGAATCTACACTACCCAAGGATGCTTCCACATAAGTTTCAGCTTTTCTGGCCCAGTGGTTCTTGAGAAGAAGATTTTTAAAGATTTTTTCTATGTATTTCAATGTAATCTTGGATTCCCTATTGTGGCTGCGCCCTGCCCCCGGGGATCATAATTTGAACAATTTAGAATCTACACTACCCAAGGATGCTTCCACATAAGTTTCAGCTTTTCTGGCTCAGTGGTTCTTGAGAAGAAGATTTTTAAAGATTTTTCTATGTATTTCAATGTAAAACTTGGATTCCCTATTGTGGCCCCGCACTGCCCCCCGGGGGTCATGATTTAAACAATTTAGAATATACACTACCCAAGGATGCTTCCACATAAGTTTCAGATTTTCTGGCCCCGTGGTTCTTGAGAAGAAGATTTTTTAATGACCCCACCCTATTTTTGTCTTTTCTTGATTATCTCCCCTTGTAAGAGGGTTTGGCCTTTTATTTCAACAATTTAAACTTTTACTCAAGGATGCTTTGTACCAAATTTGGTTAAAATTGGCCCAGTGGTTCTTGAGAAGAAGTTGAAAATGTGAAAAGTTTACAGACGGACGGACAGACGGACAACGGGTGATCAGAAAAGCTCACTTGAGCTTTCAGCTCAGGTGAGCTAAAAACAACATCTGATGAATAGTTTCCTTAATATTATGAGAAATATTACATTATTGTTGATTGTTTAGATCCTATAACAGCAAAACTTGTTCTGGTTTGTGACCATTTGATGTTTTATGAATTACGATGAAAAGAATGGGTGGGCCTTAGTACAATAGGGGGATATGCATGTCAAGACATTAAATAGACTTAGAAAAACACATTTATATATGATATCCCATGACAATCCCACAAGAACCATATGAATGGCTCGAACCAGGAGCTAGAGTTATCTTCCTTTCATAATCCTGAATACAACCTCAATAGGTGTAGAATTTTTTTTTTTTGGGGGGGGGGGGGGGAGGGGGGGTTAAAATTCAGGTTTGGTAATGGTGTGAATATTGCAAATGATGGTATAATTATTACAGAGTATCAGTATATTGATTGGGGGTCCTAAAACATGTAATTTTCTACTAACAACACATGTAACTTCATTCAATTTGACAGTAATTTATGTGTAGTAAGCAATAAAATCTACAATACCTATCCTTAACTAGGATACTTACAGCAAATCCTAACTTCTGAACAATTCTTGCATACTTTCTTGCTGCAAGTTTTGCCTGATCCTCACTGTATAATAGAAACCAGAAGTCTCTGAGAGACTGTAGCTCTACTGGAAAGCACTTAAGACTTGAAACTAGGACAACAGCAATAAAAAGAATAATGATCTTTGGTTTAGTCTCTTTGTGTGGCAAGTTTTATAGCCATAGTTGCCAACTCACCCGATTTCGTCGGGTTACACCCGATTTTTTTTACCCTTAACCCGATTATTTTTTATGACACGGCGGGTCATGCTTTTCTCCCAATTTTTGCCGAACAATCCGAAAATCTCCCTATTTTCAGATTTGGTTCATATATTAGGTTGCACTTTTAACTTCCAGTTGCAACCCAAGCTTGGATCTATGTAAACAATGCCGATGGCGATGTTCAGTAGGCTGTTTACCAGTAAATTATCATTGCAGGTGTTAACAATTACCTGGGAGTTGTTTTGACAAATCAAAGTTTGAAGTAAATTTAAAATGGCTTCCGATAGAACTATAGATCGTTTTCAGGCCCAGCAGAAACAAATTGAACCAAGAAAAAGAGAAACGATATATACATGTATGTACATATCAAGGACTCTTGGAAAACAACTTTCATTAGATAAAATAAAGTGATCGAGGATAGTGTAGAACTGTACATTTAATACATATTGCACTTGTTAATTAATTTGGGAGAGGAAAAATAACTTCAAAACCAAAACTGGAATACTTTCAAATTTAACACAAACATGTGCTTCAAATAAGCAATGCAGATTCTGAAAAGGCTTTCTTTTAAGAAAAAAGCACACTTAATTCAGGTCAATACTGAATATTGAAACCTTCAATGCTCTTTTAACATGTAAATTTAATCAATATATATTAAATTTTTGTCATTGTACATTGTAAGTTAAAGCCTCTGTTTAATAAAAGAATTCTCAATACTTAAATACTAATAAAATATATATGTTATAATTTAATCATGGTAGATATGTCCTGAATGTCGTTACACGTTATGACCACATTTTTTACTTTCCAAATCTGGTCATGACCAGATTTTTCCATGTTGGAGGTTGGCAAGTATGTTTATAGCAATCTAACTAAAACTGTAGTAAGAATAGCTTTTTGAAAGAATTTCAGGAAATTTCTATTTATAGTAATCATGGCAAAACCATTCATCAAAATCAAAAATCAATGAATAGAATTATGTATCACAGTATAATCTACTTGTGTAAAAAAGGTTTATTGAAATCAGACCAAAACTGTACAAAAGGAGCATTTTGAAAGTATTTCACAGAGATTTCTATTTTTAGTGACCATGGAAGCACCATTCATCAAAATCAAAAACTGATAGGGAGGATTAAGTATCTTAGTATAGAAAGTTTTATTAAAATCAGGCCAAAACTGTAGGAGGAGTAGCATTTTGAAAGAATTTCACAAAAAATTCTGTTCTTTGTGACCATGGCAACACTGTTCATCGAAATTAAAAACCAAAATATATAATAATTAGGTATCTTAGTGTAGTTTACTGGTGTACCAAGCAACTGTAAATCACTTTTTATTTGTGAGAACTTTATTTTCGTGTTATTATGTGAGACTGTGGGTACACAAAAATTTTATTCTCATGTATTCTTTTTTCATGAAGATTATATACAGCAATAACCAGAATTCATGAAAATTTTGTTTTATAAATACCAAATAGCTTGTTCATGAAAATTAGGTGTCCAAAAATTTCGTGATCTACAGTACTGTAGACATACTTTTTTTCCATGTGAAATTAATTTACACAATGTATTATGTATTATTAACACTATGTATTATGCGCCAAATTTGTCACAGTGTATTTAAAATGCACTAAGGACATGTAATGACATTCCAAGAAATCAGCGCAATTTTCTACCTGCAGATTGAATAAAAATTGTGATTCCATGGAACTATGAACCCCATGGAAAAAAAATATTTAAAATTTATCGATATTGAACCAAAATGTGGGAGGAGTAGCACTTTGAAAAATCGTTTACAGACAAACAGCTGGATGAATGGATGACAGACACTTTACTTTTGCATAAGCTCCTCTGGTCTCTGATAATCAGAGCTAAAAATGACAGATAATGAGAACAAGGTCACAAGCAAGCAAACAGTACATCATAATTTAACAACTTTTCACTCTTCAAAAGATACAGGTAAATAGTTATAAACATCTCATTTACATATACACATAAAACTAAGGGGAAAAGTCCTATAAAACACACCTTTTTGCTCCTGTGCAGACCATTTTCCCTGAACTAAATATGAGTGCTGTAGTCCTGGGTTCTCGTATCCTCATGATAACGGCAGCAAATCGTTTTGGATTGTATTCTGCATTTCTTGCATGAAGAGCGATCTTCTTCAGATCCAGTTTACATCCAAGATTTACAGTGCATACAATATTTCTGAAAGAAATAGATTTCTGTATAGAAGTCTTCTTTTATATGTGTGTTAATTCAATACACCAATAAGCATGTTTTAGGAGCATTCTGGGATGATTATAAATCATTCAGATAATTTTATGTTTAAGTACACAATTTTTTCCTTATTTAGGGAGGAATATAAATGGATCAATTGTTCAAATATTTTGAGGTAATAAGAAATATACCTCTTATGTGTGGGAGTATGAACAAAATTGATAATGATACTGTTGAACATTAATAAGACATACTGTAACTGTGGTCTAAGGGGGACCATTCCAGCTCCACCTTCTGATGCTGGGGTTGCTGGTGTCATAGGCCCTCCTGGAGTTATTGGGGGCCCTCCAGGGGTGACAGGTACTCCTGGTGTCATAGGGGCCACTGGGGTTTGAGGGGGGTACAAACTTGCATTTGATGGTGGCATTACTGGGTTTGGAGTGGCTCCAAGAGAAAAACTGCTCAAAGCTGCAGGCGACATCATTGGACTCTGCAAATTATGATTAATACACATAATAAAAGACAGAGAAACAAGAGGCCCATGGGCAACATCGCTCACCTGAGCACATTGGCTGGGCAAAAGCACAAATCAGTTCAGCATAGAAAAGATAAGGGTGGGGGGGGGGGGGGGGGGGGCTTGAATTTTAAACTACATGATGATGCTTCCATGTCTATATAACAAATGGCTTTGTTGTACATGAGATTTCTAAAAAAAAATTTCCCATATATTCCTTTGTAAAAATTTGATCCCCCATTGTTGCTCCTCCCTATTCCAGGGGTCATCATTTGAACAAATTTGAATCTACACTACCTGAGTATGCTTCCATATCAATATGACTAAACATAGCTTTTCTGTTCTTGAGAAGAAATTTTTTTCTATATGTTCTTATATAAAATTTTCGATCCCCCATTGTGAGCCCACCCTATATCCAGGGGTAATCATTCGAACAAAATTGAATCTACACTACCTGAGGATGCTTCCATATCAAAATGACTAAACATGATTTTCTGTTCTTGAGAAGAAGATATTTTCCTACATGTTCCTATGTAAATTTTTCGATCCCCCATTGTGGCCCGACCCTATCCCAAGGGGTCATGATTTTAACAAATTTGAATCTGCACTACCTGAGGATGCTTCCAAATAAATATGACTCATCATGGCTTTGCTGTTCTTGAGAAGAAGATTTTTAAAGATTGTTCCTATATATTTCTATGTAAAACTTTGATCCTCCATTGTGGCTCCGCCCTACCCCCGGGGGTCATGATTTGAACAAACTTGAATCTTCACTACCTGAGGATGTCTCCAAATAATTATGACTCATCATGGCTTTGCTGTTCTTGAGAAGAAGATTTTTTAAGATTTTTCCTATATATTTCTATGTAAAACTTTGATCCTCCATTGTGGCTCCGCCCTACCCCCGGGGGTCATGATTTGAACAAACTTGAATCTTCACTACCTGAGGATGTTGCGATATAATTATGACTCATCATGGCTTTGCTGTTCTTGAGAAGAAGATTTTTAAAGATTTTTCCTATATGTTTCTATGTAAAACTTTGATCCTCCATTGTGGCTCCGCCCTACCCCCGGGGGTCATGATTGGAACAAACTTGAATCTTCACTACCTGAGGATGTCTCCATATAATTATGACTCATCATGGCTTTGCTGTTCTTGAGAAGAAGATTTTTAAAGATTTTTCCTAATGTTCCTATGTAAAATTTTCGATCCTCCATTGTGGCACTGCCCTACCCCCAGGGGTCATGATTTGAACAAACTTGAATCTACACTTCCTGAGGATGCTTCCATATAAATATGACTCATCATGGCTTTGCTGTTCTTGAGAAGATTTTTAAAGATTTTTCCTATATATTTCTATGTAAAACTTTGATCCTCCATTGTAGCCCCTACCTACCCCCAGGGGTCATGATTTGAACAAACTTGAATCTTCACTACCTGAGAATGTCTCCATATAATTATGACTCATCATGGCTTTGCTGTTCTTGAGAAGAAGATTTTTAAAGATTTTTCCTATATATTTCTATGTAAAACTTTGATACTCCATTGTGGCTCCGCCCTACCCCCGGGGGTCATGATTTGAACAAACTTGAATCTACACTACCTGAGGATGTTTTCACATGAGTTTCATCTTTCCTGACTCTGTGGTTCTTAAGAAGAAGATTTTTAAAAGATGCTATTCATTTTTCACTTATTCTTAATTATCTCCCCCTGAAAGAGGGTGTGGCCCTTCATTTGAACAAACTTGAACCCCCTTCACCCAAGGATGCTTTGTGGCAAATTTGGTTGAAATTGGCCCAGTGGTTCTGGAGAAGAAGTCGAAAATGTGAAAAGTTTACAGACAGACGGACTACAGACAAAATGTGATCAGAAAAGCTCACTTGAGCTTTCAGCTCAGGTGAGCTAAAAAAGTTGAAGACAGAGGTATAAACCTGCTTTGAACAGTTTTTGAAAACTCTTTGGTAATTAAAATTTAAAGGGAAATAAATAAGCAAATAAAGTGATTCCTAGTTATAAACAACAAAACTATCACTTTCTAGAAATTAATAAAAATATGAGAAAAGCCAAACAAACACTTATAACCTACATAATGGCAGAAATGCCACACTTAGTAATAAACACATCTATCATTGTCAAAGTCCTGGCTCTAATAGCTGCAGAACTGTAGCTCTCTGGTTGAGAAAATACAGACGGACAAATCAGAGAGCTCAGATCCAAGCATTGTAAAAAAAAAAACGACTTATGACAAAGCATATCTGTCAATTACCATATATTTTTCTCCTATTCCGGAAACTTTATTTACCAAAAACTCAGGCATGTTATTTTAGCATGATCCCAACATGAGTGTCAGTCACAGTCAGATGTGAATTTTCAAAACTGACATTCCAGTGCCATATAGGGCTTTTGGAGCCATTGAAAGTTAAAGTATCAATAGCAAGAGTAAAATACATTGTTAATTAACACATACATTGCTTTAAGCAGGGATACACATATAATTCAAGAAATAATACCCAAAGCGAGCAACAAAAACAGCACTGTAAATAATGAAGGTTTTTACGATGCTTGGATCTGTAGCTCTCTGTTCTGTTTGTCTCTGAATTTTCTTAACCAAAGAGCAGCTACAGTTCTGCAGCTATGGCTATAACTGCATGGTTTCTATACATTTGCCCACAGAATGCAGGCAAGACTAAATGCAGTAAACTGCTGAATCAACCCCCCCAAAACCACTACACATACATTAAAATTGTAATAAAATAAATTGTCTATAAATTCTATTTGGGATGCTTGACCCAAAATCATGGGATGGGTTTTTACAATTTTTTCGTTAATTACTCCTCTTCCATTGAAAATCTCTCTTGAAGAGGGGACCACCTGTTAGGATCCTGTTTGTTTTCAAAATCCTTGAGTATTTTATATACTGGTAGATGGGTAATTTCTAAAACTTAACAAACCAGAAGTCTCTGTCGAGACTGTGGCTCTACTGGTTTGTACTTATAACAATTAAGGAAGAGAAAAGTAGCACTTGGACTTGAAACTTTGCAACAGCAATGAATAAATAGTAATCCTTGTTTTACTCGCTTTTTGTGGCAAGATGAATTGCAATCAGACTAAAACTGTAGAAGGAGTAGCCATTTAAAAGAATTTAGAGAAATTTCGATTTTAGGTACCACGGCAACATTATTCATCAAAATCAAAAAAAACAAACAAACAATTAAAACAATTATGTATCTCAGTGTAGTCTACTTGCATGCCATGTTATATTAAAATCAGACCAAACTGTAGGCAAATCAGTATTATGAAAGTACATCAAAGAAATTCAATTTTTTTGTAACCATGGCAACACTTCATCAAAATCAAAAAATTGATACACAGAATTATGTATCTCAGTGTAATCTACTTGTGTGCCAAGTTATATTGAAATCAGGTGAAAACTGTAGGAGGAGTAGCATTTTGAATATATTTTACAGAAATTTCTATTTTTAGAAACCATGGCAACACTGTTCACCGAAATCAAAAACAGATATTCAGAATTATGTATCTTAGTGTAGTCTACTTCTGTGCAAGTTTTATTTAAATCAGACCAAAACTGTAGGAGGAGTAGCATTTTGAATGTATTTCACAGAAATTTCTGTTTTTAGTAACCATGGAAACACCGTTCATCGAAATCAAAAACCGATACACAGAATAATGTACCTTAGTGTAGTCTACTTGTGTGCCAAGTTATATTGAAATCAGACCAAAACTGTAGGAAGAGTAGGATTTTGAAAGTATTTCACAGAAATTTCTATTTTTAGTAACCATGGCAACACCGTTCATTGAAATCAAAAAATGATACACATAATTATGTATCTTAGTGTAGTCTACTTCTGTGCCAAGTTATATGAAATCAAACTTTAACTGAAGGAAGAGTTGCATTTTGAAAGTATTTCACAGAAATTTCTATTTTTAGAAACCATGGCAACACCATTCACTGAAATCAAAAACTGATAAACAGAATTATGTATCTTAGTGTAGTCTACTTGTGTGCCAAGTTATATTGAAATCAGACCAAAACTGTAGGAGGAGTAGCATTTTGAATGTATTTCACAGAAATTTCTGTTTTTAGTAACCATGGCAACACCGTTCATCGAAATCAAAAACCGATACACAGAATAATATACCTTAGTGTAGTCTACTTGTATGCCAAGTTATATTGAAATCAGACCAAAACTGTAGGAAGAGTAGGATTTTGAAAGTATTTCACAGAAATTTCTGTTTTTAGAAACCATGGCAACACCGTTCACTGAAATCAAAAACTGATACACAGAATTATGTATCTTAGTGTAGTCTACTTGTGTGCCAAGTTATATTGAAATCAGACCAAAACTGTAGGAGGATTAGCATTTTGAAGGTATTTCACAGAAATTTCTATTTTAAGTAACCATGGCAACACCGTTCATCGAAATCAAAAACCGATACACAGAATTATGTATCTTAGTGTAGTCTACTTGGGTGCCAAGTCATACTGAAATCAAATCAAAACTGTCGGAGGAGTAGTATTTTGAAAAATTGTTTACAGACAGACAGACGGACAGACAGACGGACGGACGACGGACAACTTACTATTGCATAAGCTCTTCTGGTCTCTGACCAGTAGAGCTATAAATGAAAATCATATCAGAATGAAGGTGTTATACAGTTATATGCTATATACAGGTCCAGCACAATTTCTTGATTAAGCTATATAGCTTGAATTAGCTATATAGCTTTATAGAGCTATTCAGAATAACTTGATTAACTGTAAATCACTTTTTATTTGTGAGAACTTTATTTTCACATAATAACACGAGACAGAGTGCTCGCGAAAATTTCATTCTTGCATATATTAGTATTTCTAAATATTATATAGAGCAATACACACGATTCGTGAAAATTTTGTCTTGCTAACAAAGAGTTTATGACTATCTAGCAAAAATTAAGTGATCTACAGCAGACT